CTTGTGAATATTGAGTATTCAGTAGTTGTGTGTGAAGTTCATTGGTGAGATTGACCAGTAGTTTTCTACTTGTGTGTGCATGGATACATGTGTGTTAATCTTTTCTGCTTTGAATGTCAGGGTTATGCTAGTGCTCTCAAATTAATTGGAAAACTTTTCCAACTATATTTCTTTTGTGTTGTTGTTCCTTTTTTCATTCTTTCTTCTCAGCTTTTTAAAAAACTGAGGTATAATTAAAATATTGTGTAAGTTTAAATTGTACAATACATTGATTTGATAAATTTATATTTCAGTATGATTGCCAGTGTAGTGTCAGCTAACACTTCTGTTGCATATCATAGTTATTATTTCTAGTGGTGGGAACAGTTAAGATCTAGTCTCTTAGAAAGTTCAATGTTTGTTATACAACAGCTTTTTTGTCTGTAATCACTGTGCTGTGTGTTAGATCTCTGGGAATTATTTACCTACTAGTTGCTGTTCTGTAATTCTTTATATTTTAACTATGTATTGGCTATTTTGTATGTTTTAAACATTTGATTGAAAGTGATGCATTGTATATGTTCTACAGCTTGCTATTTGTACTCCATATAAGTTTGTGCAGTTCATTCATGCTGATGTATGTAGCTTATTTGTTTTCACTGTTAGATATATTTTATTGTATCAGAACACCATAATTTGGTTACCTGTTCTCCTCTTGATGAACATTTAGTTGTTTCCTGCTTTTTGTTATTACAAACAGTGCTGCTGTGAACATGCTTGCACATGCTTTTTCTAGGGCATTCATAACAGCAAGATTCATAATAGTCAAAGAGTAGAAACAACCCAAATGGCCATCAGCTGACCAATGGATAAATTTAAATGTAGTATATCCATACAATGGAATATTATTCACCCATAAAAGTGAGGAAGTATGGATACATCCTACAACATGGATGAACCTTAATAACGTTATGCCAAGTGAAAGAAGTCAGTCGTGAAAGACCACATAGTGTATGATTCCATTTATACGAAGGGTCCAGAATAAGCAAATTCACAGAGACAGAAAGTAGATTAGTGATTTCTAGAGTCTGGGGGAAGACTGTGATGGTGAGTGACTGCTAATGGGTTTGGATTTGGGAGGGCTGTGAGGGATTAAAATATTCTAAATTTAAATTGTGATGAGATTACACAACTCTGTGAATACACTAAAACAACTGAACTGTACACTTTAGATTGGTGAACTTATGGATGTGAATTAAATCTCAGTAAAGAAGTTAATTTCTAGGATAGTGTTCTTCAAACCCTAGTAGGTTATAAAACAATTTGGTGAGACAGTAATAGACTTTGTAGTAGTGCTTTTGTTTTTGTTTTTGTTTTGAACTACAAGAATTTCTTCATTATTTATTATTTAGAAAACAAGGGAGCAGGGGAGCACATGTGGCTAATTTGAATTTATAAATTCATGAAATGTTAAGTGAAAACTCATAAATAGCGTATTCTTTATGGTGATTATGAATATATAGTATTTGGCTACAAAAGACTCAGTAAATTTTGCTTGGTACTTTGGTTTTACTATTTATTTGGGTGGTTAGTGATGATTTACCAGAAATGGAATCTTGAGCTGAAAGGATCCTTAGAAGAGAAAATGCTCTTGGGCTTTTATCATCTCTGTTCACACTCGAGTTTCTGTGTCAAGTCTAGCTTGGAAATATAAGCAAGAGCAAAACTGTCAAGTTTTCCACTACTTTTTGCCTTCCTCCCAGAATTTTGCTTTGGCTCTGTTCTGTACCACAGCCAGCTATATTTCTGTTTTTAACATTACTGGTGTTTTGATCAGGTTATAAATTATTTAACTCCTTTAAAAGCATACTGCTATTAAAATTTGATCTGTTGTCCATTTCCGTTTATATTAAGTGATTTGTAGATGTACTGGGTTAAACTTGATATGCTTTGAGAGCTTTAAAGTACTGACATAGTTTTTTTTCTTCTAACGTGAATAGCAAATACTTGAAGCATGAAATAGATATGAAGAGTTTAAAAGAACAGACTATATTTTATAACTCTTTTTTGTCCTAGGAAGAAGGTTTTTAGTTTCAAATGTTAATAAGCTGAAATTCCTTTCTGTAGCATTTCTTCACATTTTTTGTACTGTTTTCTTATAACACCCATCAATCACAGTTACAGTGATTTTTGAGCTCTTTAATCATGTTCATCTTATCCTCATTATCTAATAGTAACTGTCTCTCTTTCCTCAAAATTTCTCTTTTCTTTTTGTTTTGGATTTTTATCTTTTTCTGACACGGGCTTTTTTCAGTTGTCTGAAGTTTGTTGATGAACATCATGTGTAAAAGTATGGCATTAGTAAAACATGGGCAGTTTGAGAAAGTCAAGACAATACAAAGATCAGAAGGAAACTTAAAACTATAAATCGTATCCTTAAGAGTAAAGAAGGCAGTGCATCATTGAAACATTACAGGAGTGTGTAGAAAAGGAATTGTTCGAGAGCAAAAATAAAGTGTGGGAAATTAAAACATGAAATTTAAAAGACAACGCAAGTTAGGAAGATACATCTAGAATGTAGAACAAAAAACTAGAGTCAGAGAAAATATGAGAAAATTAATGAAGTAAGCCAGTAGATCCAGTACCTTAAAAAAAAATAGTTCTAGAGAGAGTAGAGGAGAGAATATGAAGGGGATTAAATTTTCAGTGAAATACAGGAAATTCAGAACTGAATGAATCTCTAGTTTGCAAGAACACAAAAAACACTTAGCAAGGTGAATTTTATAAAAACCACTCAGAAAATTAAAGGACATGAGGATCAAAATTAAAAAACAAAAAACAAACAAAAAAACACCTTCCAGGTGGAAAAGCAAGCCCTGTTTTAAGGCTCAGAAGCTGTTGATTGACTTGTCAACAGCACCACTGAAAGCTAGAAGGCAAGAGAGCAGTATTTTATATGCAGACTAGCAGTCAAGGATACCTCCCATGCACTCATTCTCCAGAAGTTACTGATAAATGTGCTCTGTGAAAATGGAGTAAATGGAGTAAATCAAGATGGAGGAAGACTGTGGGTTTGAGGAAACAGGCCATCTAACACAGAGAGAGATGACAGAACACTTAAGACATATGTGTATTTAAAATTGATACTTAAGTATAAATTAAGTATATGTGTAAATGAAATTTGAAAGTTAAAAAGTAGGATTTTTCCCCCTTACATGATCTATTTCTGTATCAGTTTAGAATAAGATGAGATTTTCTTCTTTACCAGTCATAGTCAAGGTGAAGACTTTTATCTTACATTGTGACTTGCAATTTATAATTCAGTTTTGAATCCTTGAACTGGGAATGATACTTACAATGTTCAGTTTTATAACTAAAAACAACTCTTCACAAATATATTTGCTTCCAAATATATTTTGAATCTTTAAAAAATAAATTTTTAAATTTACTACTCCTGTGGTACTTGTGGAATTGTAATCCAGCATTTTCATGTCTGGTTTTTGCTACTTATATTTCACTACTTTTCAAATTTTTCAGAATTCTAGTTCTTACAATCAATTTTAATTGTATAAGGCAACAAGTTTGAAATCAGCCTTTGTTTTAGAAACCTGTCTTAATCATAAATTTGGGAATATTCATTCAGACTCATTATTTCCACTTAGAAAAGTAGGCCAGGTAGTTCCATAGTAAATAAGTTTACCAAAGACATGTTTTCACTAAGAATGAACACATTGAATCAGGCAGTTTTGTAGCTCCTTTGGTCTCCTCTGGGGGACAAAAATGTACCAAGAATTGAGGCAGGTTGGAATGGCCACCAGAAATCTAAATCTGAGTCATTAGTTAATGCTTTCCAAGGTATTTCTTATGTCTCAGTAGCCCATGTAACTGGTTTTACTATTAAAATTTTTTCTGTTAAATTGAATCTTTTGAAAAAACAATCTGATGAAACAGGTTGATGAAAATGCAAATATAGTACTGAAAAATGGGAATCAAAATTCTTTTGAGGGCTGTGTACTTTTCTTCCTTTGCTTAAAGCTTTATGAAGCAGGCGGCTAATAAATGTCAGAGCCTGAATGCAAATCTAAGTCTTTCTGCCTCCTGAATGAACTTCTTAGTGCTCAAATATTTGGTATAAGGTGTGAAGAGAAAGGAAATTAATTTAAAAGTTTTTAATGCATTATAAAATGAGATAGCATTTTTACCTATCAAATAAGCTTAAGTTTTCTGAACTTAGTAATACTTAAATACCAGAAGCCTGTATGTGGCTGGAGATGAAATTCACCACAACCCTTTCAGAAAAGTCATACTATATAATAGTCCTAAAAACTGTTCATGGACACAGACTGGAAGGAAATAGTCCAAATTGTTAATATGTTCAGAGTAGAGGTATTTTAAAACAAAATAATTATTTTCCAAATTTCCTACATTTCACATGTTATTTTTATAAGTAGAGAAAATATTTCTATCTTTATCTGGTAGTTTAACTTTAGGGAAATAATTCTAAGTCCAGACTAAAGATTCTCCAAAAATACTCGACAGCTTTATTTTTCAGTTGTGAAAAATTAGAAGCAAATTAAATGTCTAACTTAGTAGAATGTACCAGAGTAAGTGGTGATACTTCAAAGGGCACATGTAAAATTTAAGAGACTGCATAAGGATGAGGGGAAAAGTTCGTAATATAATAAGAAAAACAGGATACAAATTTGTTTATGAAGTATGCGTTTACCAATATACAGTTTTATAAAAACACGGCAAAATACTGGAGGAAGTTGTAATAGTTTTATCAGCAGTTCTGTTTGGATACTGAGATTCCAGTAATTTTTTCCCTTTGTTCTTTTTATATATTTTCTGAATTTTAATCGTGTACTGGCTTTTTAAAAACTGGTATTTTCCTACCTGAGATAAAGTGGTAGTTAATGTTTTGCTAGTCTACCACTAATAACATTCTGTTTGTATTATCTGTTACTTGTTCCTGTTTTCTTCTGTCCATGTGGAATGAACATGTTTCTCTTATTTCTTAGATCTGAAACTCAGCACCGAGGCTCTGCTCCCCACTCTGAGAGTGATCTACCAGAGCAGGAAGAAGAAATTCTGGGATCTGATGATGATGAGCAAGAAGATCCCAATGATTATTGTAAAGGTAAGGTTTTCAGTAAGGAGATGCTAAGGAAGACATTCATGTATATGCAGTTTTTCATTTGAATGTTTGATCTACCAGTGTAACCAGTTATAATGCTTTCTGCTTATCGTGTCATTTTCTCTAAATATAGGAATTAGTATTTCCTTTTTGTTTGACTTAATTAAAGCTTAGTTTTATATTAAATCTGTTTTTAACCCCTTTTCTCCTTAAAAAATGATAGTGCATATTTACATTAGAAAATTTCAGAAATATATTAAGCAAAAAGAATATGAAAGCCATCTGTAACACTATCACACAGAAGTAACCAGTAAGATTTGGTATGGTAGGCTTTTGAAAAACACCTTTTCATTACTTGAATTTTCTCAAAGTGATGATTGCTAAGACATACTGAACTGAAATTACAGATACTTAAACTGTGTCATAAGTTTGCCTGGTATCTTCTGTTTCTTTATGAAACTTTCTAGGATTCTTGGGTAGGATAGTATAACAACGTATTTTAACTATGAAGGAGAACCTGGTTCTTCTTCTTAGCAGGCAAAGATGGATGTTAAATCCTTTGATTTCTGCCACTGTTGGCAGCGTTTTTAGACCTTTGTGGTTTTTGTTTTGTTGGGTTGTGTTTTAGAAAAGCAGTTCCTTTTTTTTTTCTTTTTTTAAAAGTTAAATAAATGGAATTCATTAATCTCCCTCCTAAAAAACATCCTGAAACTACAACTATAAATTGATTTCTGTATCTAGATTAACCTGTTGGATTATTGAGGGGCAAAAATATTGTGATATATAACCTTATTTTTGTTTGGGGATGACTTACTGTTCTAAGTAAGTGTTAGGTTCTACAAAGCATCACTTGCTTCACTCTAAATCATTAATCTTATTCTCTTAAGATATTATTTTATAATATGAGCTCAATAGTACTGTGTTGCTGACTGAAATTTTTATTTTGTTGAATTGATTGTATTAGAAGAAACCATTTTTTACTTGATAAAAGGTGTATTGATACTGAAAAATGGGATGTGAGATACCTTTTCTTTCTAATTAAGTGACTATTTCCCTACTGTTGTTTCTTCCAGGAGGTTATCATCTTGTGAAAATTGGAGATCTATTCAATGGGAGATACCATGTGATCCGAAAGTTGGGCTGGGGACACTTTTCAACAGTGTGGTTATCATGGGATATTCAGTAAGTTTTAGTGGTCCTGCAAGAGAATTAGGTGATTCCTTAATGTTTGTGTCTGATTTTCCACCTTCAGTCTAGATCTAGACTGATTTCTTGATTAGAATCTTGTTTGTTGATAATCTTTATGTTCTTGGGCAAGTGACTTTCATGAAGAAACACTTTAGAGACACGAGGTTGATTAAATTAATATCAGTAAGGTGTTTGGAACTCCCAAGTTCAAAACGTTACAGATACTCAAAGAACGTATGGTATGTGCATTCATAGTTTTTTCTCATGGAGTAGAGTTAAATTTTTAGCTGATGTCCTAGACCAACCTAGGTGAGATTATTTTCTTGTCCCCCTCCCCTCCCCAACAGATTTGCTCAGCCATATAGTCTAAAACTTTTCTTTACATAAAAACCACAGGCAGTTAATGTTGGACATTTACCTAAAAGTATACTGTCTTTGATGAGACAGCAATTGATTTCTTTGCACTAAATTTTTTTTTATCAGTTTTTCAACCAGTATTTCTTCTGGCTTCTTAGAAGAAAGTATTATAGCTTTTAATCTTTTAGCTTTTGCCATACAAATATACAGATACTTCTGGTTTGGTGGCGTTTACCCCTTTTATTTATCCCCATTTCATGGTTTTCCTTGGATTCAGGGAGACATTCCAAAGGTAGATTTTAACTTAGAGAAAATGTTTGGTGAGTGACATTACCCAAGAACAGATTTTCTTCTTCGTGTAAATTAAATTTGGGCAGTTAGTGCCATTAACAGGTACAGGTGATCCCACAGAAGCAGTTTGTGTTTGGGTACAGGGAAACATGAAATTAATATTTGTACTTTTGTCATCGTCTGCCAGTTATAGTTAAATCTTAGCTTCCTAAAGTAAGGGTAGGACACTTAATCTTAATTTCCTGTGTTTGTTTCCTAGGGGGAAGAAGTTTGTGGCAATGAAAGTAGTTAAAAGTGCTGAGCATTATACTGAAACAGCACTAGATGAAATCCGGTTGCTGAAATCAGTAAGTATTAGATTGTATGTGTGAACTGCAAAGCTTTATATGAAGATTAGAGTTTTATTGTTAAAATTGAGACATATCGCGTAAACATTCTGTTGCATGTCTAGTTTTTACTGTGAAGCTCCAATATCCTTAAAGAGGTAGAAGACGGCAATACTTACACATTCTGTGCATGTGGTAGGGACCTGGTGGAATATGCTGTGATGGGAATTCTCCCTACACACACTAAAAAAAACCTTGCAAATAAATAAAAATGTTTAAGTATGTTTATGTGCCAGATAGCACAAAGAATGTTTTTCTTTCCTACTGTGGTTAAAAGAAAAATTGTGTGAATAAATACATAACATCTGTTTTGCTTTTTTTAATGTTATAAAATATATAATATAAAAATAAGTACTTTATTTATTAATTCCCTTTATTACCTAGAAACTTCAGTAAATTTTATCAAAAACTTATTTTCAGTTTTACTATAAATTAGGAGATGTCAGTGTAGTAGAAGGAGCTTAAACTCAGAGTTAGAAAACATGAGTTTTAGGACCAGCTCTATCCCAATATATCCTTCAACTCATCATTTTATTTCTTCTGAGCCTTAAACTTTTCATTTGTTAAGTGGGGATATTAGACCAGGAGAGCTCCCAAGGAAGTACTTTTCAAAGTGCCAGACTGTGACAGGATAAGGAGCTTATGCCCAAAAGTAAATCAGTGTACTTCCTTCACTGAGAAAGTTTTTCTATGAAAAACCTTCACCAAAAGTTCAGTTTGGGCTGAATAAACAGTGTGGTTAGTGCTGTAGTTGACTTGCATCCTGCTAAAGCTCCTTAATTCCTCCTGGCCTCGTAACGCACAGTTAGTTAATTTGGGAGTCACTTTGAGCAGCAAAATGATGGAATTAGAACAGTAGTCTTTGTTGATTGTATTTTATTTTGTGAACTGCTTATATTAAGTTCTTTGCGTATTTGAGCTATTAAGTGTTTTTATGTTTTTCTCATAGATTTGTATTAGCTCTTTCTTGGAGTATTCCTTTGTTATATTTGCTGCAGGTGTCCCCTCCCCCACCATCTGGTTTATTTCTATGCTTTCTCTTTTGCTAAATACTTTCTCATCCCTATTACAGGTTCGCAATTCAGATCCTAATGATCCAAATAGAGAAATGGTTGTTCAACTACTAGATGACTTTAAAATATCAGGAGTTAATGGAACACGTATCCTTTTAAGAACCTATTTGAAAACAAATCATGAAATAACTGTCTCAAAGACAGCAATTAGATTTGTGCAGATAGCATTGGTCTCTTTTCTCAAGATAAACTATAATCAAATTACTTTCATCGTAAACTTTTGAACACAGATGTGAATCATGTCTGTCTTTGTTGTGATTTTTCAGGCTGTGGCTTTAGACTTCTCCCCTTTTCAGGCTAATTAAAACCAAAGTCAAAAGAAACTTTTAGAAAATAGCCTTGTATTAAGTAAAGTTTCTACTGATTCTTATCAATTAGCACAGAAATTTTAATGGAATTAATTTTTTGTAATAAATACTGGGTAAACAAGAATTTAATGCATTTTATTATTTCAACTCTGAAGAGGTTGTGCGTGTAGGTTTTGCTTAGAATCTAAACAGGTATGATTACTCATATTCTGTCATAATGAAAAAACTGACTTGTTTTGTGTTTTGATGTAGAATTTTAAAATTGGAAGGAATGTTAGCTTTTATCCCCCCACAAGTTAGTATCGGAGTGCCATGCATTGGAACAGCTGTGCTTATAAAGGCCTATCAGATTTTTTAAGAATAAAAGATGAAGATGACTCCCACTTGAATTTGAGACTCTAAAACTACCTGTTCATAAACTATTTTAAAAAGTATAAAGAAAGGCATTTCATATATGATTTTACTTTCTCTGCATGTTTCGCTTCTCTTAACACACATTCTGAATTGCCAGTGATGATCTTCTTTTAGGGAGGCAGGCTCCACAGGGCTCTTTAGTGTCATATGGACTATGATAAGAGATTTGAACAGAGAAGCAAGGAGAGAGGATGAGAGAGGAGACAGAACAGGTAATAACATGAAGCTTCTATCATTCTGAAGTTAGTTGTGAGTTATTTTGTGGGAGAGATACAAATCATATATCCCTGATCTCTAAGGAAAATTTGTATAAGAATCATTGCATTATAAACCATCATTTTCTCTCTGTTGTGGTCATTTCATAGATGACTTACTCTTTTGGGGGGAGGGCGTGTGTGCACGTGTTTTCAAAGTATTAACAGTAAGGCTAACCAAGAAATGAAAACATAGGGCGTATCATGATGGCCATTAGGTTCTGTTTCTCTATTACTTGATCTTTTAATGTTTGTCATTGTGCCAAATTTCTGTATTAATTTGAGAAGATTATAATAAAACTGTAGAAATATTCTGAATAGTCTCCTCAGTAATGCTGAGTACCTTTATTTGACCCTAAGCAAGAAGGCTTTTTTTTTCTTTTAACTATTAAAATACCTTAGTAGATTTGAATTTCAAGTTCCAGGATATTCTCCAAACGTTACTAGGTGATTTTTCTGTAGTTTCTATCCACTGAGGTCCTGTTTTATTCATTTGTCCCTTTGTCCTTAGCCATTTCTCTCTGGCCTTCCTCCTACATGTCTCCTAGCTATCTTGGCTCCTGCAGTATTTGTTGCTACTAGAGATTGAAAAGGATAAAACTCAGAGCACTGAGTTAAGGTTCAGTGGGTTATGTTATTCTCCTGCCCCTCACCTCTTTTCACAACACAGGCATAGCTGCTTGGAGCTGTGTGTCTGTATTTTTCTTTTCTTTTCTTTTCTTTTTTGTTGTTGTTGTTGTTGTTGATTTATTTATTTTTTTATGTCTGTATTTTTCTTTGTATCTAGGCATACTACCATTTCTCTAGAGCACTGTCCTTTCTCACATTGAAGTATCAGAAGGACCCTGAACTATAGAGTTCCGTACATTGACTTCAGTTTAAATTGGTTCATTCTGCCTCTGTGAGTGGTGAGGAGAGAGGAAGGATTAAGAAGGACAGCTGGTCTATATATGATACTGACATTAGCCAGTGAGTGTCACTGGCTGCTTGTGTGACCTGCTATGTCTTTAGGATACATTTGCTAGTGCTTCTTATTCGTAAGTCACTCTAAATGTGGCTCTTAATTAGTTTTCAGCCCTTTGATTTCTTTTTTTTTTAACATGATCTCCCACAAAATTTTTTTGCATGTATCCTTTTAGTATTTTACCCAGTTCTTTTTGTTTTTTAAGCTACTAAATGTTTGGTCATTTTTATATCACTGTTTATAAATTAAAACAACATTGTTGTCAAATTGTAATGCTTCTCAACAAGTAAAAGTTAATATTGAAGCTAGGAACATGAGAATAACTTTAAAATTCTGTTTTCTGGTGGAGGGGGTTGTTTGTTTAAGCAGTCTGCATTCTGAAATACCTTGTTTTGGTACATTTCGTATGTGCAGAAGTAGAATAATAATTTGATGAATCCCCACACATCCATTATCCATTTCAGGAGACAGCACCTCATAACCAATCTTGTTTTGTCTATAGCTCTTGACAATTTTGTGGCCAATCTTAGATATATTATTTCATCCATAATTATTTTAGAATGTATCTCCAAAAGACATGGATTCTTTTAAAGTACAGCCCCAGTGCAATTATTAATCCTAAAAAATTGAGGCCATTTCCTTAGTCTCTGTATCTAGTCACTGTTTCAGTCTTTACAGATGTCTCATACTTTTTTTTCTTTTCTTTTTTTTTTTTATTATTTCAGTCAGGAGCCACATTAGGTCTTTGACAGTTCCTTTGTTATTTGGCACATCAAGATGTTCCAGGCTCGTCTTCTACATTTCCTGTCCAAACCTGGAAGCCCTAATTCCTTTTAGTGGGAAATGGTGCACAGAACCTAAGCACTAAGGGTAGTACGTTTATTGATTATTGGCATTAGGTTGATGATTGGTGTCACTTTTATGATTTGTTGATCCATTGCAAAAAGCAGGTACCTTCATTCATTTACACTTCTGCTAGCATAATATGAGTTCCAGTTGCTCCACATACTCACATGCATTTGGTCACGTTAGTATTTTTACTTTAGTCATTCTAGTGACTTTGAAATGGTATTTTATTGTAATTTTGATTTGTATTTTCTGAGGTAGTCACATCTCTTTAATCTTCTTTAATTTGTAACGGTTCCTTTCATGGCATTCGTTTTTTTCTTCCCCTCCAAAGAATCCAGGCCAGTTGTTTTGTTCCTTAATTTGGATTCTTCTGTTTCCTCATGATTAAGTTCATTAAATTTTGTCAAGTATACTACATGGGTGATATTTTATTCTCAGTGTGTTGCATCAGAGGGCACATGACATGAATTCATGCTTATCATTGGTGGTGATAAATTTATTCACCTGGTTAAGGCAGTATCTTCTAGATTTCCCTGTTTAAATTCCTTTTATAATTAATAAGCAATAATATAATCTATGGCTTTCCTTTTATAATAAGCAATCTGTGGGGTGATAGTGTGACACTGTGACGGTTCTTTTTCCCAGCCATCTTTTACTCAGTTTTAGTATTCATTGATTCTTACTTGAATCAGTTATTACTATAGTGATTGTAAAATGGTGATTTTTTTATTTCTGTCATGCTTTGTATATTTACTGCTTGATTCTTCCTCTGAAGAAGACATTTTCCTCCCCCCAGCACAGACTTATTTTAGTATCCATTTGGACTCATTCTATTTTTAATTTATAAGCTGATTCATAATTTTACTCTAAAATGTTCTCAACTTCGAACCATGGCATCTTCTTTACCAGTTCCTGTTTACTCCTTGACATGTTCCTTACTGTTGACACAGCATGGTATATTCTAAGCTTGCCCTGTATTTGGCCATTTTTTAAGGAGCCCAAGTTTTCCTTTAGTGGAGAATCTTATCTAAAACAAAAGTCTGAGCACTAGATCATTATTACCTGTGTATGTCTAAACTTTCCAATTTTATGTAAAGCTCCTAGAGGTTGAAAATACCTGTATCTTCCTACTAAAATCCCTGCAGTACCCTAGGCCTAGCACTTCTAGGCCCAAAGAGTGGTGGTGTGGTTGGAACGTTCATACATAGAGAGAACACACGGTGGCAGTAGAATCAAGATTAGTTTTGTAAACTACAGAGCATAGAGCAAATCAGTTCCCTATATATATTTTTTTAATGTTGGCATTTGCATTTTTTAGGTTAAGTTTTGGTACGTTGTCTTCTATAGCTAAAGTGGAATTTATTTTTCCTTGCTTTCATACTATGAGAGTAGGAGTTGTTACCCTAGACGTTAGTTTTGACATCAGGGAAGAGACTGACTAATCAATAACTTAAGCCTAGTGCATTCACTAATTGCGTGCACGTCTTTCACTTTTCCTTTTATCACTGAGTATTTTAATGTGTATAATTTTATCAATAAGCCAACACCCCAGTTTTCCATTTGGGGGGTTATATGCAATGACTAAAGCATTAGTTAATCTTTGGAATTTCAGAATATTAACAGCTAGATTTTTTTTCATTCAAGCTCTATAGCTTTTTATACTGAGAGAATATAATAACGATTTCATTGGAGTGAAACAACTTGTCTTGCCCCTTTCTTGTGTCTCTCTTTTCCTCCTTAACATACTTCTAGATATCTGCATGGTGTTTGAAGTTTTGGGGCATCATCTGCTCAAGTGGATCATCAAATCCAATTATCAAGGGCTTCCTCTGCCTTGTGTCAAAAAAATTATTCAGCAAGTATGTATCTTAATATTTTCTATGTGGTGATTTTTAAAGTTATACTCCATTTATAGATATTATAAAATATTGACTATACTCCCAGTATTGTGCAATGTATCCTCATAGCTTATTTATTTTATACATAATAGTTTGTATGTGATGATTTCTTTTAGATTCTTAAAGTGTCAGGGGTTTCCTATTTCAAATAGAATTTTTGTTTTTAAAACTAGGATTTTTTAATTGCTGAAATTGTTCATTCAGCCCATAGGGTTTATTGTATGTATTCTGTTTTTAAATGTTTTAACATAACCATTTTTTCCCCAGGTTCATCTTCTGTTAATAATTATTAACTGGGAAGCTATTTGTAGTGCCTGATTTTGGAAATTTAGAGCCCTTATCCAGAAGTTTTGGTTGCAGAGACTGATTATAAATTAATAGAGAACTGCTTTGTCAAATTATTACCATCTCTTTATATAGTATTATTATTCATTGGCATTTTCTCATATTCTAAATAGGAGAAAATAGTAGTACTTCACAGGGCAAATAATTTGTTTAGGTAGTATGTTTTGTTGGACAGAGCTCTAAACTGGGAAGCAAGAGACTTCAGTTCTTCATCAACAAGGAAATTTGAATTAAAAGATATCTAAATCTCTTTGATCATCTACATTTCAACAGTTAAAGGACATATTGACTCTTTATTCACGGTCTCTATAATTAGTTAAAGAATATTTCCAAATAAAATTAGCTTTGTAAAACTTGGAAGAATTTTTTATTATAAATAAACTCTTAGTTTTGTTCATAGTTTATAATTAATCTTTCCGGGAAAGTTTCTTGTGCTTTGAAAGGAAAAAGGAAAAAAGCTTCTCTGTAGAAAATAACCATATTGTTTTTATATTTTTATTTTTTAAATGTTGTATTGTGATTTCTTCCTTCTCCAGAAAGTCTCGGTATTCTATATTCGCAAATCTATTGCTCTGTTCCCATTCAGGTGTTACAGGGTCTGGATTATTTACACACCAAGTGCCGTATCATCCACACTGACATTAAACCAGAAAACATCTTGTTGTCAGTGAATGAACAGTACATCCGGAGACTGGCTGCAGAAGCAACAGAATGGCAGCGATCTGGAGCTCCTCCACCTTCTGGATCTGCAGGTAAATTTTCTTTGGGGACTTTACTTTCATTAGAAGTTAAGAGAAGTTCCTATTTTTATTCTATTACCTGGCAGTTAACTAAAGCACCAGTAATTCATTTAACAATAAGATTCTTATCTATAAGATTCTTATCTGTAAGTACTTATCTATAAGGAAATAGTCCTAGCTTTCAAAAGACTTTTTATTCTCAGTATTGTTCCCATAGGGGAAGAAGACTGTGTCTTTTAAGTAAACATATGTTATATATTATAAAAGCTGATTCGTGTTGTTGTTAAAATGTGTTCTCTTGTGATTTGATTGTCATATTCGATGTGTATACCTCTTAGCATGATAGTACACATTCACATATGTGGATCAGTGATCCTTGTGCAGTATCAAGATAACATTGCTGATTAAGAGCTTGGATTTAATCACTGGAGTGGACATATCCTTGCTTCATTGGCTGAGTGACCTTGGGCAAGTGACTTGAGTTCATCATTTGGATTCAGTTTCATGTTAAAGCAGTTAGTAGCGTGCCACACATTGTTATGTGCTAAATAAATGGTGGCTGCTGTGATTATGATGATTTTTTTTCCATTTGTGGCACAGATTTTTTTTAAGTATTTTTAAAAATTGAAGTATAGTTGATTTACAGTGTTGTATTAGTTTCTAGTGTACAGCACCGTGATCTAGTTATGTATGTGTGCGTGTGTGTGTGTAGTATATATGTTCTTCACTTTATGTTATTACAAGTTATTGACTATAGTTCCCTGTGCTATGTAGTAGTACCTTGTTGTTTATACATTCTGTATATAGTAGTTTGGTGTGGCACAGATTTTAATTTTGGTAATTTAATTATATTTCTCTTGATTCTCAAGTTTAAATATCAATTATCTGTAGATTTTTTTTAAAAAGGAAGACTGAAGAAAGGGGAAAAGGAAAGTTGTTCAGTGGGCACAAGATATCATTTTTGCAAAATGAAAAAGTTCTAGAAATGTTATACAACTATGTGAAATTAACACTACTGAACTGTACGCTTAAGAATGATTAAGATGGAAATTTTGTATTATGAGGATTTTTTTAAAAGGAAAACTGAAGATTCTACCTCCTACCTAAGCTAACCTAACATCCATAACATGGTACATAATAAATTGCTGTAGCTCTTGATACCACTCTTCTTTTAAAACTGACAAGTGTCAAGAAGAATTAGTCCTAGGTGGGAATGAGGGGGTTGTTGCCTGTCATTGTCTACTTTAAACAGTACATGGAGATGAGATTTTAGCAGCATTAATAGTGGAAATCAGAAACGGGGGCTTGGCTCTTTGCATATGGATGCTTTCTGGGGAAGAATTTATTTAAACTTACATTAAGTTTGTCAGCTTTTGTATGCACTGTTTGTTCTTTCTTTAAAAAGAAAAATAATGTTGCCTCTATCAAAATTGCTTTGAAACAGTAGTTTTCTCTACAGTATAAACTGTACAAGAGAGGCTTTTTGTTCTGGTAGAGTGTCTTTTATGAGTCTTAGTTTATATTGCCTGCTGAATGCCAAGATTCTTACTTTTCTTTTCTTTTTCCTTTTCAGTCAGTACTGCACCCCAGCCTAAACCAGTAAGTATAAGGTGTTTCTGTATTTAATTTTGATCCTTGGGCAATAAACAGGGGTTCTTCTGTTATGGATCACAGTTTGTAGTGTTTAGAAACCAAAGGAAAAATATACCTGTGCTTCTATAATTTCTCCAGTGAATCTCATGCATCTTCAGCAAGTTTGTACCGGTGAGGCTTCTGTAAATTTGAGTGTGTCTGAAAGTAGACCAGCCCCACAGACTGCTCAGAGGACCAAGAATTGTTGTTAATTTTGTTTTTTATTTGGTTTCATAAGAGTATCCACATTTTTAAAGTTAATGAAAAACATTAAATGCTGTTTTAGGGAAAGAGTGGAATAAGGAAGTAATTAAAATTAACAGTTATCTCCAACTGGGGGTAATGGATTAGCCACCTGAAGGCTTTATCTGTTTGTAATCTCCGCCCAGGCTGACAAAATGTCAAAGAATAAGAAGAAGAAATTGAAGAAGAAGCAGAAGCGCCAGGCAGAATTACTAGAGAAGCGAATGCAGGAAATTGAGGAAATGGAGAAAGAGTCGGGCCCTGGGCAAAAAAGACCAAACAAGCAAGAAGAATCAGAGAGTCCTGTTGAAAGACCCTTGAAAGAGAACCCACCTAATAAAATGACCCAAGAAAAACTTGGTATAAATAGAACATCACAAAAATTACTTTATAGCAAACTTTAACATTAATTTATCATTGTTATATAACGTAGTGGTTTCATGCATACAACACATCTATTGTCCTTATACAATAAGAATTCAGAACTTGTCATAAATGATAGGTAGGTAATATTCAAATGTAATTTCTCACTTTTCTCAGGAAATGCAACATAGACTTCATTTAGCAATTGGGTAAAGATAAGAAGATCTTTGTCCTTCCATAAATAGGTTTTAGATGTTCAGTCATGTTTTATGTCACCCTTTATAAGTTCTACAGAATGTTTTAACCTTGTGGAGAAATTTTTTTGTTCTTTCACGCATACACATACATATACATCCTTTTTGTCTTGTTTGTTCCCTAGAAGAATCAAGTACCATTCACCAGGATCAAACACTTACGGAACGTGGTATAGAGGGTGGTGCAGCAGAAATTAATTGCAATGGAGTAATTGAAATCGTTAATTATACTGAGAACAGTAATAAAGAAACATTGAGGCTTAAAGAGGATCTACATAATGCTAATGACTGTGATGTCCAAAATTTGAAGCAGGAACCTAGTTTCCTAAATTCCCAAAATGGAGACAGCAGCACATCTCAAGAAACAGACTCTTGTACACCTGTAACTTCTGAGGTGTCAGATACTGTGATGTGCCAGTCTTCATCAAATGTAGAGCAGTCATTTAATGAGCAGGACATCAGCCAACTTCAAGAAAGTATTCGGGCAGATATGCCCTGTGAAGACGAGCAAGAGCAAGAACATAATGGACCACTGGACAACAAAGGTACCCATGCAGACGTACTTCCCCAGTACACCTTCCCTGCCTAAGATATTCATGAATTTCTCATAAGTCAGACAGACAGACAAGTAATATATGTTATCACTTACATGTGAAACTTAAAAAGTTAAATGAAAAAATACAGCAAAACAGAAACAGACTCACAGGTGTAGAGAACAGACAGGTGGCTACCAGTGGGGAGAGGGAGTCAGGGAACGGCAGGATGGGGGTAGGGGACTGAGAGGTACAAACTACTATGTATAATAAAATGGATAGGCTACAGGGATGTACTGCACACCACAGGGAAATAAAGCCATTATTTTGTGGTGACTTCAAATGGAGTACAAGCTATAAAAATACTGAGTCCCTGTGTTGTACATCTGAAACTAGTATGTTGTAAATCAATTACACTTCAATTTTTTAAAAAAATCACCACATAGAAAAAAATTACATATTCATAAATTTGTAGACTAAATTACCGTTGTTTTTATAAATACAGCTTTATAGCAGTTGTCCAAATTACTTCCAGTATGTAAATCTGTGGCTCATTTTAAATTTTTTTGGTTATGTAGTGAGTGCACAGCATTTCACTTGTTGCTGTGAAAGCAGAGGTTTTAATTCTGGAAACTCAGTGTGTTGCTATACTCATTTTATCTTAGAAAATTTATTGTAGGTTGCCAATTGGGGGCCTCAGTGTATTACCTTGTAGAGTTTTATTAACCTTTGGGTATTTCTGTGTTTATTGAACAGTCTTATTGATGATGCCTGTTGTCTACAGGAAAATCCACTGCTGGCAATTTTCTTGTTAACCCCCTTGAGCCAAAAAATGCAGAAAAGCTTCAAGTGAAGATTGCTGATCTTGGAAATGCCTGTTGGGTGGTAAGTTAAACTTGTCTCAGTTCTGTGTTTTGAAGTAACTGGAAATGAATGAGAATTTGGGCTTTATTGTGCTAAAAGAAGAAAACATCTGCAGTTCTATATCCAGATTGCCAGTTAAAATTTTAGTGTAATTTTTTTTTTTACTTTTAGCCTTTTATTATGGAAAAGTTCAAATATTTACACAAGTAGAGAGAGTGGTATATGAAGCAGTCCCCCACCCTGCCCCACTCCAGGTACCTGTCACCCAGATTCAGTACTGTCAGCTCATGGCCAGTCTTTTTTATCTGTATCTTCATTGACTTTCATGCTCTCAGTGCCTACATTGATACTTTCCCTCTTGTTTTTAAAATTGTCATCTAACTTACTAATTGTAACCTTTTAATTCATTTAATATATTTTGGACACTTTTCTTTGTCAGCCAGTTTTGAACACTTTTCTTTGTCAACCCAAAATTCAAATTCAATTGGTTATGTGGTATTCCCCAGTATACTGTAATCTTCACACATTTTTGACAGTTGTTTGTGATTAGCATCTTTGCTCATGAGGCTTTCTGTATTTGTTCTTAGTACATGTCCTAGACATGAAATTGCTAAGTCAAAAGTTGGGTGCTTTGTTAAAGGGGATTTTTTTATTTATAGTATCATATTAATACTGTTGTTTACTTAGTTAAGAATGTTTTTGTGTTATTTTTAATGAACATCTTTTAAAAATTTACAATAGAATTATTTGCATGAAATGATACTGCTCAAAGAGCCATATGCTTTGTAAACAGGGATGTTGGAGATTATTGAGGCAAAACCCACTTTAATAGGTCTTATGTTTATTTTTTGTTTTTTTTTTGTTTTTGCATTTATATCAGTAAATATAGGTTTTGGGGTTTTTGTGTATTTTTGTTATTGAAGTATAATCCGTTTATAATGTGTCCATTTCTGGTGTATAACATACATGAACATACATATATTCATGTTCGTATTCTTTTTTAACCATAAGTTACTACAAAATATTGAATATAGTTCCCTGTGCTATACAGTATAAACTTGTTTATCTACTTTATATATATTAGTATCTATAAATCTTGAACTCCCAATTTACCCCTTCCCACCCCTTTGCCCCACTGGTAACGATAAGTTTGTTTTCTATGTCTGTGAATCTGTTTCTGTTTTGTAAATTAGTTCATTTGTCTTTTTTTTTTTTTTTTGAGATTCCATATATAAGTGATACCATACGGTATTTTTCTTTCTGGCTTACTTCACTTAGAATGACAATCTCCAGGTCCATCCATGATGCTGCAAATGGCATTTTTATGGCTGAGTAGTATTCCATTGTATAAATACACCACAACTTCTTTATCCAGTCATCTGTCGGTGGACATTTAGGTTGTTTCCATGTCTTGGCTGTTGTAAATAGTGCTGCTGTGAACATTCTTGTGTTTATTTTTGTACTTCAGATTCCCTATTCCATATGACATCCTATATATTATGGTTCATAACTTAGAAGGATCTTGCTTTCAGTATTGATTCTAGAATACTTTGGTAACTTTTTAGGAAGAAAAATGAAGTCAGAGCTTAGCACTGAATGATAGAAATGTGGAAAAGTTTTTCAGGTAATTAATTATTCCACCACACCACGAGATGGTCCAGGCCACCACATGTTTTCACCTGGGTGACTACAGTAACTTCCTTACTTTCTCTCTTCTGTTGCCTTGCCCCTTGCAGACTGTCCTCAACCCATCAAGCCAACAGCGTGATCCTTTAAAATGCAAGTTAAGTGAGACATTCTCAAAACCTCAGAATGAATGCCGAAGTCCTTACCATGGCCCACACACCACCAAGCAAAAAACACTATTTCTTCCGCCTGGAATTCTCTTACTGAGATAGTGTATACAACCCACTCCTTCATTTTCTTCACGTTACCATTCAGACATCACTTTACCAGGGAGATCTTCCCCTGAACACCTAACTTAATTAGCAAACCGCCACTCTCCAAACCCATGTACCTTGATTATATTCATTCATATATTTTCTCTCTCTTCTTCTCCCCCCTCAATTTTTTTTTCCACAGCACTTAACCCAATTCGATACTGTATATTTTTTGCTTAATATCCCTCTCCCTGAAATGTATGTCCCATCATAGCAGAGATTTTTTTCATTCACTGCTTTATCTGTGGTACATAGAACAATTCCTAGTACATAGGAGATGCTTATTAAATATTTATGTAAATAAATTATGGAGAAAATTATTGACTCTAATATCACATGATATAAACTTCAGATGCTTTTCAGTTTTCTGCCCACACCATGTTTCAAGCTCATTTGCCTCTGGAATACCTTCCATCATACCTTCCTTAAGCATCGGGCATACTCCACTTTATACGGGTAGTCTTTCCTGTCATTTTTACTACAACAGAATTAATCTCTCTCGCCTTTAACTATTACATGTGTGTCTTTTTTTCTTTTTCTAATGTATCTCTATGATAAATGACTTCACATTTTTGTCATCCATTTTACTCATTCAACAAACATTGGCACATGTTCTGACCTGGGCACTAGAACACAGTGGTGAACTAGGTATGGGCGCCTTGTCCTGCTGGATCCTGGTCAAGTTTCACATCTTGTGGGTCTCTTCACAGCAGCATCTGGTATTCAGTAATGGAATTTCACATGATTTTCAAAGAGCTGAATATTTAAAAATACTACACTTTTGCTCATCACTTACTCACGTGCATGTATAGTTTGGAGACAGTTACATAGATTTTAATTCAGAAATCTATCCCCTTTGCCAGTTTTTCACTACTCACATAATGGTATTTACCTTCATATCATTATCAAGTAACCTAACTGGATTGCCCCCAATTCTGTTTTTCAACTTTAGGTATTATTTCTTCCTCCTAAAAAGTAGGATTTATCCCCTTCTTGTCAATTTGATAGGATTTTTGGCAAAGTAATCACTCCACCTTTACATAATTAGGGCTCTGATACTGTCCTCAGCTGAACCGAGCATATGTTCTGCTATGATTCCTTTTTCCTTTCTGCCTAGCACCGTGTTCCACTTACTTAGTCATCTTTGTAGTACTTGGAACTTGCTCAGCCCCACTCTTGTACCCAGTGCTGTAGGTACACACACTTCAGTACACACAGACACCTTGGGTGTTCATTCCTTTAGCTTTTCTTCCTGAAGATCTCTGTCCTGGAACCTGTAGTCTTCTCATCTGTGTTCATCTGTTGAGTTCCTCTGTAGACCTGCTGCATCACTGCCGTTTGAGATTTCCTTTCCTCATCATCCTAGAGATTATTGTTTACTCTCTCTTTATATCCCATTTTCTGTCTCTCTGATCTTCTTTCTTAGCTTCCTCAGAAATGGTGTGTGCAATTGGGGCAGAGGGAGATTCTTGCATGTCTAATAATGTCTTTATTGTTCTTTCACACTCAGTGGACTGCGTGTAGAATTCTAGGTTGAAAATCATTTTCCTTCAGTGTGTTTGTCGTTACTCCATCATCTTCCAGTTTCCCATTTTGTTGTTGCTAAAAGGCCAAAGTCATTCTGACTCTTGGATCTTTGTGTGAATCTGTTTCCCCTATGGAAGTCTATGGGATCATCATTTCACAGCCATATGCCTCACTAGATCTGTTTTCACCCATCAGCTAAAGACGCAGTGAATACTTCCAGTATTGAAACTCTGGTTCTTTCCTGTTGATGCAATCTTGATTTTTCTTGTTTCTTTAATTCTCTTCTTCTTGATCTCTGTTCTCCAGCTCTAAAATCTCATTATTCAAATGTTAGCCCTCCTATGCAGGTCCTCTTACTTTTTTTTACCTTTGTCTCCTATTTTCTACATTTTATTTTTGCTTTATTTTCTGGGAGATCTGTCAGCTTGTTCTTTTAAACTTTATTTTTTCTTACTTCTCTTATTGTATTCTCACTTTCCAAGAGTTCTTTAGTTCCCTGATAAGCTCTCAGAGGATATATTTTTTTCATTTTTGACATTTCCTTCTTATATGGTTTCTCTTGCTTTCTTTGTTAGGATCACTAAACAAAAGACTCTGTGACCATATGAATGGGTTACCAGAAAGCTGTTTGGAAATTCTGTGCCTGGGTGGGTCTTGCTGACTGTTACTCACTATAGAATGATCTGTCTGAGCTGTTTCATTTCATCCTGAGATGTCAGAATCTTTGGGTCTTTCCTCTTGGATTGGTCATATTTCCCATAGAAGTCTTCGTCACATCTCATACCCAGGGAATAAATGCTTGGTTGCTAGTGTTCTGGGGGCTGAGTTAAGCAAGAAAACTGGGGGGTTCAACATATAATTACACATAGTCACTTAATTTCCCTCTTTTCAAAGTAGTTTTCTCCTCTCATCGGTGGGGATCATCCTCCAGAGACTCTGTTTTACCCACTCCGGAGAAAACCTCCCATTGTCTTGTTAGGCCAGAGAAGGGCTATTAGACTGCATCATGTCCTGTATTCTGGAGCTCTGTTTCTTTAAAAAATATTTAAAGCAGTATTCTTTTGTTGAACCCCACCCTCCCTGCTTCCAGAGATACCTGATACCACCAGATCCTGAGCCTTGGGAGGAGGAGGACTGTGGTGTACATCACGCTACTTACCAGCTTTCACCAGTGGCTCATTCAGCTGTCTTGGATCCGTTAAGATACTTACCAGTGATCTCTGCTTTCCAGCTTCTAAATTTTATTGCTCTGACTTCTTTGTCATTCTTTGTCTTTGTCAGTTTATGCTTTAAGAATTAGCACTGGATCCTCTGCTGAAGTGGAGTTTCAGGAGTTAGTGGATGTGTATATATCCAATCTACCTTTTGCTGATTCTTGATCTCATTTATCATTTACAGCATCTTTGTAAGGCAGTAGTGAGGCACAATGAGTAAAGACAACTCCCTCGAATAGCATGTCCATTTTTCTAAATGTATCACCTGCAGTACATTTCCACTTCAAACTTGGTATCTGAATCCATTGTTTTCCTTTAAAACCACCTCCCTCTCTACATCTCTCCATCCCTGTTTTTGTTGACAGCCTCTACCACAAAGTTCTTTTGACTCTTCCTACTGTCTCCCACTTCTAGCCATTAAGTTTTTAAATTGTGCTTATTGCTTCTTTGACTGTCCTTCGTTTTAACTCTTTCCTATTTCATAACCATTGTTCATATGTTCAATATGAAGCCTAAATCTGGCCACCAACCAGAAGAAGATGGCTGGAATGGTTATCTCATTGTCCTATCAGTCTTCTTACAGCACACTCTCCTCTTCACTTTTACCTGCCAGATAAAATCTGAACTCTTCAACCTAGCAATTACCTGTGTTTGGCTCTAGCAGATGCCTTTCTGTACCTTATTTGTGATGTGTTTTTGCTCTTTTGGGGTCAGACTTAGTCCAGTACACTTCAGACCTCTGGTCAATGCTGGTTGTCTACGTGAAGCTTTCTCTACCTAATTTCCCCTGTTCACAAATGCTGTTCCTTGTTTTTGAATTTTAATAGGGTTAGAAAATCATGCTTCATATTTGTACATGTTTTAATATTATCTGAATTTTGTTTCTTATGTATGATTCATTTGAAGCTTCTTTTTTCTGTATTATTTTTTATTATGGAAAATTTCAAACCTATACAAAAGTAGAACAGAATGAACTCCCATGCCATTATACTAATGTTACCCAATATTATCAACTCATTGCCTGTGTATTTTCACCTATATCCCCACTCCGTTATCACTGCGCATTATTTTGAAGTATATTTTTAGGTAACCATGACGCCATTGCTACAACTAAAAAAGTTGGCAATTCACTAATATCAAATATTTAGTCAGTTTTGCCAGTTCTCTCATAAACATTCTTCTCATTTTGTTTGTTTGAAACAAGATCCAAATAAAATCCATGAATGCAAAACTGGGTACTATGTCCACTGTGTCTCTTAATGTAGAGATTTTTGTTGCTTTTATGTAGAGATTTTTCCACCATACAGTTTATGTGTTAAAAAAACTTCAGCTCTTTTGCTGATTGCATCCACATGGTGCTCAACATGATCTCTTGTTTCTCCAAGATTCATGTTTGATGTTCTTAGAGGGGTGAGGGAAGCAGAGAATAAGGGCAAGAAATCTTTATAGGTGGTGTTTGTAAGGTTCTTAAAAAAACATGAAGCCTACATCTTTTATTTGCTCATAATGGACACACAGCAAGGAAAAGTTTGAATGGGACCTAAATTGATGTCATTTATTTGTTGAAATACAAGTTACTAATTTTAGAAAAACAGACAACTTAATGTTGTTTGGGGTAATCATTTTCAATTTCTTAAAAAGTTGTTATTCCCTAATGTGTTTATCTATATTAAGTTTAGACTCATATGTTTGCAGAAATAATATGGAGTAGACAGTGTGTTAAGAAAAATGCTATTTGGCACTAATAGCATCAGAATGATACTTAAGAAATTGGCTGAATGAAAACTTTGGAGAAAACTTCCACAAATTCATTTTAATCTCCATTATTAAGCAATAATAATTATTGCTTTTTAGAATAAATGAATTTTAAAATAACTGTTTCCTTCTTTATTTACTCAGCACAAACATTTCACTGAAGATATTCAAACAAGGCAGTATCGTTCCTTGGAAGTTCTTATAGGATCTGGCTATAATACCCCTGCTGACATTTGGAGCACAGCGTGCATGGTAAAGTTTTTCCCCTTGACTTTCACTTGTTTTGCCCTGTTTGTTAATTTCAGTAGACCAGCAAATTAACAAACAGAAAAGGAATTTTTTTTTTGTAACTTATCACTGGCCCTCTGAATCCTGTGTCTAGAGAGGTCTGAATGCAAAAACTCAGTTATAAACATCTAGGATTCATTTAGTTCCTGCCAAATTCCTGTTAGGTGAAGGAACCAAATGTTTCTTACTACAGATTTGGGGGGCAGGGGTGGGGAAATCGAAAAAGACTGCTCAAAGGTGGTGTTGCTTTTGATCAGGAGGTTACAGGTACCCTTGCCCTTTTAGCTCTTATCTATTTTCAGATTAGGGGAACCCCTGGAAACTGCCTCATTTTGTACAGTTCAGCAGTTCCTCAGACATCTTTGTACCTCACAAGATGTGAAACTGAATCACCCTTGGGTTCATAAGCTGCTGTTTGTCTCTGGCAAGCAGCTGCTCAGTGGTCAGTTAGCTGATATTAAATGCTTCCCACAGATAGCCTCCTGTTGGAACTTAACTGTTTTCTGAAGTGGAGTGTATTCTTCAATTTGTAATTGTGTGTTTACTTTTTTCTCATCTATTGGTTATAAGTGCCATACTGGCAGGAACCATGTTTATTATTTATAGTTAAGTGTCTGATTTAGGGCCTGCAACATTTTGAGTGGGTGCTTACCGTGCATTTTTTTTTTCTTAACGGAGGTACTAGGAATTGAACTTAGGACCTCATGCATGCTGAGCCTGCACTATACCACTGAGCTATGCCCTTGCCCCTTACAATGCTCTTCTGATGCTAACTTCCAGAGTTAACACAGACTTCAGGTTAAACACATACATTCCTGCAAGACTAACTACCCTCACATCAGACACCAGCTGCAAGCTCTGGGGTCTACAGGGCACCTGCATTTCTGACCAACTGGCTACAAATTGGAGGTTTCCACTATCCTTCCAGATTTAGTAGTTTGCTAGAATGACTTACAGACTTCAGGAAAGGGTTAAAATACTACAATTTTGTTACAAAGGATACAAATCGGGATGAGCCAGATGAAAACATGAATACAGTAAGACCTGAAAGGGTGCCAGAGGTGAAGCTTCTGTGTCAAGACACATCTCTTTCCCAGCACATCAGTGTGTATCACCAACCAGGGAAGTTCATCCAAGCTTTAGGTGCCCAAAATTTTTATTGAGAATTCATTACTTAGGCATGATTGATGGAATTGTTGGTCATGTGGTTAAACTCGATCAACAGCCTCCTTCCCTTCCTGGGAGGTTGGGAAGTCAGGATGATAACTCTTTGACCAAAGCTTCAACCCTCTGATTGTGCAGTTGGTCTTGTCCAACTTGGGGGCACATCTAATCTCCCTCTTGAAACAATCTAGGGGTCCACTATGAGTCACCGCTTTACTATAGACTTTAGTGTGGTCCAGAGGGGCCCACCATAGATAACAAAAGGCACTTTTATCACTTGAAAATTCCAGGAGCCAGGAGGCTCCCTCCCAGGAAACGGGAACCAGATCAAACAAATTCTTTATTAAACAATAGTACTTAATAAATATTTGTGACCATCAAATGAGTGAACTAAACCAGAAACATGTTAAACTGGCATTTTAATTAACATTTAATATTTACAGTCAACTCTGGGGAAAACTTGAGAGAGAAAGAACAGACTAGAAGCCCCATCCTGTTTTGAGTCATAGATTTCTTGACTCTCACATTCCTGAAAAATTTTGTCTTCCAAAGATAATAAAATTAAAACCATGCTGTTAACATGGCATGACCTTACAGATCATTTTGTTATGGCATATAAGTGGTTTTTTAAGATGGAGGACTGTCCAAAGTGAATATGGTCTGGTATTGTGTGCACAAGATAAAAGAACATTGGAATAAACTCATTTCTTTCTTGCTATACTTTAAAGTTATGTGTTAACTTGATTTGAACTGATTTGCTAGAGAAAATAACTGATGCCACCAAGTACAAAATAGCTCATTTGTAGGTGGCATCTGATTTATTATGGTGTGATTATTAGTGGGTTAATTGCTTGAAGGCAAGTAGGTTCTGCTTGACATTTAACATAGTATTTACAATAGCAGGCTTAAGAAGTAAGGCAAAAAGATGAAGGGGGGAAATTAACCTTGTCCCCTGTTTGGACCAGCTCATGTGTGGGAATTTTCTTGATCAGGAAGGGAAAGCACTTATTTGACTTGAAACAATATCATGAAAACTTGAGCCACATTTATTCCCCCAAATTTTGCTAATAGACATAGAAATGTTACTTTAAATTTGGCCAGTAGAAATAAATCTTGTAACATCAGAAGTGCCTGGAGAGATGGATCATCCTTCATCCAGTGTAATTAATTGATGGAAAGATTGGGACCCTTTCAGTCTCACATGTTGTGAGATTGCGTGCCACATTAGTGATTGAGACTACAAAATTAGAAGGGCAGTTACAAGAATGGAATGTTCTTTGAAGAATATTAAGAATTAATTTTCAAAAAGGTGTTTTTAAATTCTCCACATACCCTATGAATTTTGACAAATGTGTGATGACACGTATCTACCATCATAGTGTCATACAGAACAGTTTGACTGCCCTAAGGATCCTCTGTGCTCTGCCTCTTCATCTCTCCCTCCCTCTTCCTAACCATTACCTGGCCACCAGTGATCTTTTTATTGTCTCCATAGTTTTGCGTTTTCCAGAATGTCATATAGTTGGAATCATACAGTATGTGGCCTTTTCAGGTTAGCTTTTTTCACTTTGTAATATTTACTTAAGGTTCTTACATGTTGTTTCATGACTTGATAGGTCATTTCTTTTTAGCACTAACATTCCATTATCTGGATTTAATAACTGATGTTGCCTGTGTCTGTTAGCATGACCCTAACTGACATAGAATAGGCTCTTCAGTCAGTGTGAGACAAGCACAGGAGTGGGCATTAGGAGTCCTGGATTCTAGATTCTAGAATGGACTTTGCCTTTCCATTTTGATCATTTTTCTCATCTGTAAAGGAAGGGTGTTCAACTAGGTGTTTTGTTATTTCTCAGTTCTGATGTTGTGATCTTTTGGTTTGGTTTGGTTTTGGTTTGTTTGTTTTTGTCTTTGGTGTTTTTTTGTTTTGTTTTGTTTTGTTTTTGCTGTTACCTTATTTGTAAAATTATAAATACTAGCAACTACTTTATGTTCCAAAAATAAAGTTCTCTTGGAGAACTTTAACTGGTTGTAAGCATCTAGGTGGGAAAATTTAGAATATTTCAAAATTTTAGAAAATTTTCTACTTTTTAACTTTAATTTCAATATTTTCACTGAACCCCCACTATGAGACTGAAAAATTAAAGTACTGATTTCAGAAAAGATTGACAAACTTTGATGAATAGGAATCACAATTTGTTTCTGTTCTTCTTTGGGACTGTAAACGTCAGGATAATCAGAGGGTAAAATAAGCATCTGCTCTATCAGTGTGGTCCAGTTTTGTAACAAACTGCTGTCATGTAAAATAAGCTGTGCCTACCTAGCAAGAAGCCATAGCATCCCTGACATTTTAGAGACAGTCCTAAAATTTCTGCTTCTGTGGCCTTGCTCTGGGCAGTAGTACAGCCCAGGTAATACATTTTTGAGACAGACCATTCTGTCATGAAACTGCAGGAAGTGACATTGGTAAGCCACCAAGATGGAAACCTGGGTCTAAACTGAGAATGTGCCCCAACGAAATACACCATACAGTCCTTGAGATTGTCTGGGCTACTTAGTACCATTGACTCACCAGAATTGATCCATGGCCAGTACGTGACTTGTAACTGTACTTTTTGTATCAGTAAGATCCTTTTTAAAACTGCTGTTAAATTACTTGCTTTTTTTGAAAAATGTTTTTAATCCATGAAAAATTAATATAGAGCCATCACTCAGATGCTGTTCTTCCATACTGTTTGACACTTATTCCTAAGGAAATCACTTTTTCAGACCTTCTCAGACACTGTTTACAAGAGGTTTTCTTTTTGTAGGAGATACGTGTCTTTTTCTGGTTGGTGAATGCTAACCTGCTAGTCAATATAAATGGCTCCTGACTCCATTTATACTCAATCTTTTTCTGATTTTCTATAGACCTAGGAGTTGGGAACTCTATCTGGGACAGTTCAGGGAGTGCTTTCCAAAGCAAAACTTAAAAATGTACTTTTTGCCAAATACTAGAGTCATAGGTGGAAAAGTATCTGAATTTTTTTTTTTTGGTTTTGATTTTGGGGACAGAATCTTAGTATCTAGCCATGTGAAATTATAACATAAGAAAAAAAAAGATCTGCTCATCTCATGAATAATTTAATAACTTAGAATCACCTTAGATATGCCCCTCTCTGAGCAAAAAGAGAAACTCAAGAGAGTTGAATTGCTCGTTGAGGGGCTGGGGGAGGGGCTTGGGATAATCCACATATTGATATTAACTGAGGTTCTGCAGTTTTCTTGCTCTTTTTTATTCATGTACAGGTGTGAAAGGAATGCTCTTTGGGAATAATCTTAGACAATTTTTTTAATGATCATTTGCAGGTTTTTCCAAGAAGAAAAAATAACTGAATATTTAGCCACATAGCAATAAACTTCCCAAAGGCTTTTTTTTTTTTTTTTTTTTTTTGCTTTCATGAGCTTTCCTCTTTTTCTTAGGCCTTTGAACTGGCCACAGGGGACTATTTATTTGAACCTCATTCAGGAGAAGAGTACACTCGAGATGAAGGTAAGTACCCTCAACTAAGGATGTCTGTGTTCCGTGGATAACGTCAACTTATTAGTACTGAAGAGCCTTAGTCTTTTTAGTGTCATAAGTGTATATAAATCCCAGAAAAGATAGAAATACAAGGTATTTTAGATTAAGTATTAGATATACTAGATATTTTTTAAATAGATATTAAAGAATCCTATGTAAGGATTGGAGAAAAGTTTAACAGTTAGTTAAACTAAAACCTGTATTTGCCAGGTATTTTTTCCTAAAACACTAGTTATCTTCCTTATATAAGTCAATGATTCATTCTTTACCCAGTTTGGATCTGCCTGTTCATCAACTTGTTGCTCATTCCTTATATAAGTCAATGATTCATTCTTTACCCAGTTTGGATCTGCCTGTTCATCAACTTGTTGCTCAGTTATGCCTCCAACTTTATTTGAAAGTCAGTAACTTTAATATATTAACACACTACTTGAATGCAGAGACTGTATCTTATTTGTCTATATAAATTCTACAACATTTAACGTTATTTTTTCTCCTTTCTAAAAATTTAAGTTACATATAGTTTTCTTTTTAAATGATACTAACATTTGGAATCCCATTTTAAAAACAAAATATTATTGATTTACAATTTGGAATAGCCAGTGGGAAAAGCCCAAGCTGTCAGTTGCTCTATCTGAGAGGCTGTAAAAGCAGGCACTAAATATGTGATGGTTTTTTTTTTAAATCATGCTGGCATCCAAATAACTAGATGAGATAATGTGAAAGAAAAAAACTTTACTAAAGAAATGTCTTACCTTCTTTTATTATACAGTTTTGGCACTTTCGTTTTCAGGATTAGTGGGAATTACTTTGAGAGAGCATTAGCAGTGTACCCTCCCAGTGTGGAAAATATGTCCTTTACTTCACTTGATTCTTTGGGACATCAAGTTTTGTGCTAACTCTCAGACTGGTCCTCTGAGATGTTATAGGCAATGTTAGTAGGGCCTGCTGATATTCCTAATAAGTATTGTTTGAAAAATGCTCTGCTAACTAACTCCCATAGCCAAACGCCTATTTTAGTGGGTACAGTTTGGACACATTTTCTGTACATAAGCCCCTTTTAAGAATATGCTATAATTAGTACCTAGATACACACTTGATTTTTCCTATTATCTGCTTTCTTTTTTTTCCTGTGTTGTAAGTTTGGGGTATAGACTTACATTGTTTTAGAAATGCCCTACTATATCCTTTTGTGAGGATAATTAATTTTTTTCTCTTTATTCCCCTAGACTCACTATAAATAGTGTATAGTACAGAACTCATGTAGTGGCTAGAATTACATTGATCTTTCTGATTTGATTATATTGAGTGGGATCTTATGCTACCAATCTGAAAATTGAAATCAGTATGAAAAGTCCCAAGTAAGGGACAAGGGAGAACCATTTCTACCCTAAATATTTAGATCCTAATTTATTCCCTCCTATGCTGGTCAATATACTAATAAAACCTCAGACTTCCACTATTTGGCCCTAAAGAGCAGAAAAAGGCAAACCCTTTTCCCTGCCTAGTGTACACATAGTATGTTACAAGTCATGGTAGGACTAGGGCCTAAGTAGCATGTCCTCTGTTATTAGTGACATTCCACAGCCCTAAATCTTGGAATAATACTTGATAATTTTGCCTAACAGGTATATTAATCTTGTGATTAATTGGTAAGTCAAAGGTTGTTGGAATTAAGTGTAAAATAACATTTTCAAGGGAAAATAATTCCTTAGTATAGGGAAAATATTAAAAGAACCAGTACTTCACTTGGAAGTTTACAGTAAGACAAATTATAGTCTCATTTATAATTAATTTATACAAAGATGTTTATTTGCAAGTCCTGCCTAAAGTTGACAGAAATATTTTGGCAGCCAAATGCTTGTTACCAAACAATAAATTCAGTCAAAACTGCCCAAAGGTTATAGTGAATTCATGAACATAAAGCCACTTTAAAATGATACCACTGAGTCCTTTTCATGAGAAATAGATGTGACCTGAAACCTTCATAAATTCTCAGATGAATGGATGTCTCTAGTGTATTATTCCCTTATATGATACATTATTGGAAGTTTTTAAGTGATTCCTTTTGACCTTGATGATTCTATAACTACAGGATTAAAGTCATTTTTTAAAAGCTTTTTTGTGCCTTAGAGGCATCACTTTTTAAAACCTCTTTGTATTCTTAGTTTCTGTCACCTGCAGAAAAAGTAGTAGATCTGCCTTTAAGTGTGGATGCTGACTGGTCCCAAACTCATCTGGTGACAGACTGCACACCTCCCTGGCAGTGCTCACAGTCCATATTAATGCTGTGACCGTTATAAGGCACTACATGACATTTTAGTGGCCTACAGATCCTCAAGTGACTGTATTTTTAAATATTTGTGCTATTTTAAAGTGTGACTTATTAAATTAAAAAAAAACTCTGGACTAGACATGATGAGATACAGGTTTCTGTTTGAGTTGTAGCTCTTATTACCCCTGTAGCTATAAGTAGGCCAGTGTCTCTGAAGTTCCATTTTCTCACCTGTAAAATGGGGTATTCATCTTTGGCCTCTTTTACAAGGTGATTGTGAAAACTTGATCATAAATGAGTGCTTTAATTGTCATAAACATTCTGAAATAAAGTGATACTATTACTGCTTGAAGCCCAGAGCAGTATTATAAATAAATAACTGTCCTAGAATGTCTAAAGCATATTGGTACAGTTTTTTTTTTTATCCTTACCTGAAAAACCCACCTGAACCTAGGTATATAGACAAAATAGAAATTAAAATGTCGATAAGCCTCCAAACACCAGAATGGGACTTGCCAGCTACTATCAGGTAGCCAACCACCTGAAATAATTCTTGATTTTCCCAGTCTCCCCTTGACCATACTTGGTTTTATTTGTAGTTACTGTTAAACAGCTAGTCCTGGAAAAAGCTATTGATAGAAAAACCTCTTTTACAGCTTGTCCTTGATCCTGTTCTTCTTACCCTTCTATTTTAGACCACATTGCGCACATTATAGAGCTGATAGGCAGAATTCCAAGACGCTTTGCCCTCAGTGGGAAATATTCACAGGACTTCTTCAGTCGCAGAGGTAGTATTGTTAAAATGAGTTTTCATCTAGGCCCCAGGGATGCAACTTCAGGAAGCAGAGCATCCACACCAAGATTGTTTTCAGTTATCACTCAAGTCCCACTGGAGTGGCAACCTGACTTTTAATGGTTTTATGGATTCTCCATTAGATGGATAGAGTCCTCGTCTTACTATTTAGGACAGAAAGCAAGCTGAAATGCTTAACAAGGAGGTGTGCATGCTACTCTTTCTGCCAATGTCTAGAACTGCATTTGTTACTCCTGTTATGTATGTCTTTTTTTCCCCCTCTTGAAATGTTTGAAACATGCAGATCACATTGCGTTGATCATAGAACTTCTGGGAAAGGTGCCTCGCAAGCTCATTGTGGCAGGAAAATATTCCAAGGAATTTTTCACCAAAAAAGGTAAAATAAATGTATTAGTTCCTGGACGTTAAGGGAACAAAAGTGTTTAACAATGAAGAGGTAAGTACAGCTGGGTACACTTTTCCAACACCTATAGGATGGTCCTACCTTAAATGCTGAGCTGTGATACAGCAGAGAGGTAAATAACATGGTTAAGAGCAGAGACTGGAACCAGACTGTCTGGATTCAAACCCACTATTCATGTGGTCTTTGACACAATCTCAGGTTGCTGATTTCTAAATGAGACTTACTTTATATTAAATTAGTATGTTTATAGTAGCTGGCACAGTCTGACTCCTACTAAGCACTTTTGAAAAATGGGCAAATTTTGCTGAGGCAGTTCTAGCAAAGGGCAAGTGGTTTAGTTTAAGCTTTTTAAGGGGAGAACTACATCTCACTCACCTTGTCACCTTGTGATATCTAACACAGTCACTTTAACACATCAGTCATGTGAATTAACTTTCAGTTTCATAAGTTTACATTATTATTTTATTAGTGAAGAAAACAAATATAAAACTCTCACCTCAAATTTTTGACATGGTAATGTACTTTGACATATTTAGATATGTTTTTCTTATGCGCACCAAATGAAATTTAAAAGATGAAATGTGAAAACTTTACCTAGAAGGATCTAGAAAACTGGCCTTTTTTTGCTGTGGTTCCCTTTTTCCTCACAACCTCTACACTACTGCTGAGAAAAATCATTTTTCTCAACACTTGATGGCAACCATCCTCAGAAACATTTGTTAATGTTTCTGTTTGGAGCAGGAAAATGGTAAAGTGTTTCATAAAAGTTCTTTCTTTTGTGCAAAGTCAGACTAATGGCGTGTGTGTACCAAATAGGTAATTAAATAGGCACTCACTGCCCACAGAAGAGACTTCAAATAAGTGTCATGTAAGAAAAAAATTTTAAAGCAGCATTTACTTTAATAAGTCATTGATAATTGAGTGTGGTTTTTTTTTTTAATTATCACTTCAGGAAGGCAAAAATTAGGCTGACATTCCAGAATACTAAAGTGTGATTGCAGCTGTATCCAAAAGCTTATTTGTTCTTTTAGTTTTCTTGCTTTTATACATGTTCCACGTGGTTTTAGCTCTTAAATTACTGCTTTATTTTGAAGCAGTATTTATTAGATGATCAAGCACCAAAAAAGAGTACAAGCAAATTATTCTTGGTTATGTAGAGATAAGTTGCCCCTGAGGCACTATATGAGGCCATGCTGAGTTTATAGACATTTAATACTCATTTTAGTGAATACCTTGTTCCTGATACACCTGCCCAATTTGGGACAAAAAAATCCTGGAATGGTGGGGCAAAAAATTATTTAAAATTTTTAGGCCCTAATGAAAAATAGAGACACTTTGTTCCAAGGAATGCATTAGAGAAGAGAGGTCTTTTGTGAATGGAGAAGGATTAGATTCTGATGGCAAAATTTGATTCTTTATAGACTCCCTGGATTAGTTCCTGGATTTCTACAAAAGGGTCTTGTCACTTGTCAATGTTGGTCAGTTTCTTTTGTACTGTCTTTACCCTAGGTGACCTGAAACACATCACGAAGCTGAAACCCTGGGGCCTTTTTGAGGTTCTAGTGGAGAAATATGAATGGTCTCAGGAAGAGGCAGCTGGCTTCACGGATTTCTTACTGCCAATGTTGGAGCTGATCCCCGAGAAGAGAGCCACTGCTGCCGATTGTCTCCGGCACCCTTGGCTCAATTCCTAAGCCCCAGCCCAGCACCACAGCAGAGGTGACATGCTGGCCCTCCGCCCCTCCCTTTCAAGCATTTCCCTCTTCCCTTTTCAGGGTGACGCTCTTTGTTCAAGGGTTTCTAGGGTTGGTTTTTTTGTTTGTGTTTTTTTTTTTAATCCAACATGTTCATTTGGGTTTGCTTGCTTGACCCTATGGATATCCACACAGCCATTGGGCATCATAGGTGAATTTGGCCTTGATTGGGATCTGCCAAAGACTAATGGACTAAAATGTGAAACAGCCTCTTGCCCAGTACCCTTGTTTTTCCATTAGAACATCCTTTAAATTATAAGCATCCTATTTAAAAAGAGCTATGAAGATGTATGAGCGCATCCTTTTATTCACTGACTCTAAGAGTCAAATTTTCTAGTGCATTTCCTGTTGCCAGCATGAGGTTGAGAAGGGGAAAGGATGTTACTTCAGCAGAGACATTAAACTGGCTGTATCCAGGCTGCATCATCTTCCTGGATTGTTTCTGTTGTTCTGTATGTTCACATTTTTTCCTGCGACTTTTAAGCTACTCTCGTTTGTAAATGAGCTATATAAACACCAAATTTGGGTACCCTTTTATCACTGTTCAAAGCACTGTCAAATTTCTTTCATCCTTTAATCTAAGATCCTCGAATCTTCAGTCTGATTTTTGATGGAAACAAAAATGGAACCATTGGCTAGTAATTTCTTCAGAACCACATATATTCTGCAAACTGTCCTTTCCTACATGTCTTCTATAGCCCAGCAACAAAGTTACTTTGATTGGCTGTTTGTTTTGTTTTTTGTTTTTTTAATCCCTGGCTGGCACTTTACTCATTGCACTTGAGTTTATTGCCCTCTAACTAAAGAGTTCAGGATGTCTCTAGAAAGGAGATCTGGGTTTCAGAGATTTCCCATCTGAGGAGAAACTGTCCTAGTGTTCTTGATTCTCTTCCAAACAATCCCCAAGTTTTATTTACAGCTTTTTCTTTGCCTTGTCCAGAATTTAGCCTTGAAGCCATTTTCCCCTGTGGCTTTGCCATTCTCATTTTCTCAGAGGCTTCAGGTCATAAATGAAATCCCAGGACATAAGAACCAGGGGGAGGGATGGGATGGCACTTTTTTCATTGTTGTTTATCTTGAGGGCTTTTTTCTTTTCTTTTTTTAAATTGGTTTAGGATTAGCCATTCTCTGCTGCTATTTCCTTATATAATGTAAGTTTTTAACTGTAATTTTGAAATGATTGAAATGTATTTGAGGCTTTTTTTTTTTTTAATGAGGAAAGACTTTGTGAATTTTATTTTAGGATGGGCCTCTCCTAGACTTGCCCTAGACATTACATATTCCTCAAGTCATATTGAAAAGCAAAAGAGGGGTAGGATTGGGGTCACAGCTGCTTGTTCAGCACGGACCAAGTGGGCCTTGGGGATTACAGTGTTCTCCGGAAGCGGCTACAGGACTGATTTACAGAAAGCCAAGGCAGTGCAACTTGAGGCTCTACTTGCGAAGCACCAAGGAGACTGTTGGGTAGCCAACTTCCACACAGGAAATTGGATCTAGATTCTGTCATTTATCTACCAACAATGGCAAAGGAAAAAGTGGTGCAATTATGCAATCCATTAAATTCATAAACATATTGCCCTGAATAACTGGCCAGCCATTCACCGGATCCTTGATGAGTAGTCCTGAAATCAGACATGTTCCTGTAGAAAGAATTTTTAATGAGGCTGTCTATGCACCTATCAAGAATAAATAGAATAGATTGTATCAAACAACGGCAGGGAAAATCCTTCAGCAATTCCAATCCATCCATCTAAACCCAAAAGTTGGGTTTTCAGCGATATATACACCTAAAGCAATAGCAGACTAGAACTGAATTATTTTCTACACTGTAAAATCACAACTGTGGAATTACAGGAATTCTGGCAATGATACTAAGGTGAAATAACCAAAACACATACAAATAGAAGGCCTCATTTTAACAACTGACAAGAAATTTTAATAAGAGAGAACCTGTAACTTCCTTTTGGACACCAAATAAGGGCTTTTTCCGCTATCACTTAAGGAGCCAGATGAATTAGAAGCTGTAGAAAAGGCAGCTGTAGAATTTGATCTTCCATGTACCTTTACTGAACTTAATAATATTGTCAAATTGCCATGATCACACTAAAGGATTTCTACTTGCTGTCAGTAAAAAATAACCCCGAATACATTTTTATTCTTTCTACTGGATGCATTCATTGTCTGTTTTCTTTGTAAATGCAGTACAATAAACAAATTATTTAATAACCTACATGTTTCCAGAAGATTTCTGTTCATTTGTTGCCCACGTTGATCTGACCCAGCTTTAGAATGGAGGAAAGGATTAGTTGAGTTGCTTTTTGAATTTAAATATGCCATAAAAGTGTGTAACTTAAACATGCGCCATTTTGTGGGGTTTGCAGCTTTGCTTCTCTTTAAACTTGTGGTGGGGTGGGATTAATAAAAGTACATTTTGGAAAACATTCCCTACATTCAATACCATTGTCCCTGAATATTTGTAGTAGAGTTTTTTGTTTTTACCTCCCCACAAAGTGCAAAATGTCAAAAATTTGTGAACTCTAAGGCGCTGGCATGATGACCTCTCTTATACACAGGTTTTCATATACTTGTCTGACTCACTTCTTAGGATAAATTCTTAAAAATAGAATGTCTGAGCCAGAGAGTAAGCACGTTTTTAAGGCTTTTTAATAAATGTTGTGTAACTTATGTGGAGAACAGTTGGACTGTTTTCCTGTGACCAAGTGTTTGAATGGGCCTGTTGTTCCTAGTAGCCAGTTTGATTGCCAAAAAAAGGGAGTGTCTTGTTTTAATTTACATATTGGATGACTAGTGAAGTCAGAAACTTGTTTCATGGGTTTTGAAATTGGCCATTTGTATTTTTTGGTTATTTGCTTACATTACCCAGCTTGCTTTTGGCAAGCTTCTCTATTTGATGATTTGGTAAGCATGTGTTATATATTAAAGGTAAGGCATTTTTGTCATTTTTCCATCACTTTTATTTATGGTATTTTTAATGTAACTCATTGAAAGTCCTTCCCCACCCCTGAACTATATAAACTGTAAACTGTTTTGTTTTAATTGAGCTGTTCTTAAAACATACGTAGTGTGTTCATATGGTAGTGTTGACCAGGATCTAACCTGTTTTAAAAAAAAGAAAATTGAAGTTCATCAACTTCAGATTAGCCAATCTAGCCAGTCCTTCTAAGCTGTGGTGGTAAATGTATTGACCTAGAACTCTGAAGGTTTTGGAGAACTTAAATTCTAGAAGAGCTTGTAGCTATGTCAAAAGAACCATCAAACTGAGGTGGAGTTACAGCTCTACCTTTTAAGTTTTCATTTGCCCTAAATGTCCACAGGGAAACCATTAATTAATTTAAAACTACCTGAATGATACACATTTATCTTTTAAGTTGCACAAATATTAATCCAAGTCCTTGTGATGTTAGAAATAGTTTAAAAAAAATTTGAGATCATGTTGTGTTTACAAGTTTTAACTGAGCAAGTTTACATTAGTGCCTAGTTCTATTACTGACTTCCTTATAAAGGGGTGAGGGTTTCTAATACATAGATAATCAGTCTGATTTTATATCCTTCTAAGTTCACTTTTCTGCCATAATCTTCTCTTTTGTCCTTATTCCAGATCCTGGTTTTGCCTATTTTAATACAATAACAAGCCTTGCCCTCCAGTTGGCAGAGCTGGACTGTATTACAGAACTACATCAGCTGCCTGCTTTTTGAGCTATATTCTTAGAAGTTGTATCCTTAAGACATTACGGTGGTTGCTTTGGATTTACTAAATGTAGGGGAGAGTATGGTCAGGGTTGGAAATTAGTGGACCCTACCATAGATCACTGAGGTGAAATAGCAGAAGCAGGATGAGCTTGAGGGTTTGGGCCCTTCATCTTTGGCAGCGTTATTACAAAACATGTGTCCATCAGCATGTACACTTACTAGAATCTAATCTTTGTTTCAGTAAAGCATTCTGGTAAATGTCCGTTTCAGCAGAAAATTAATTACGAATAACTGTGAGAAACAACTGAGGACCCCAATAGTTCCCACCTCCTGGTATTCACATACTTGTACAACTCCATCACCTTGAATGTGGGCTGGACTTTGCGACTGTTCTAATAATCAGATGAAGGCAACAGTAACAGAATATCACTTCTGAGATGGGGTTACAAAGGGGCTGTGGCTTCTGTCTGTGCACCCTCTCTTGCTCTGTCTTGGAACCTTTGCTCTGAGGAAGTGAGCTGCCATGTGAGTATCCCTGAGAGGCCCTCAGCCAGCAAGGAACTCGGGCCTTTGTTCCAACAACCTGTGAGAAGTTGAATCCTGCAGACAACCACTGAGTTTGGAAGCAGATCCAAACACATTAACTGCAGCCCTGTGAGAAACCTTGAGGCAAGGACACTTAGCTGATCTTTGCCAATTCCTAACCCACAGAAACTGAAATGCTGTTTTAAGCCACTGAGTTCTGGAGTAATTTGTTATGTAGCAACAGGTAACTAATACAGAGATGTAAGATAATGAAAGCAATTAGGATGTCCTTCCAGTTTGCGTAAAATGAATGATAAGACCTTCCTCTCAACCTGCTCAGGGCTAGTCATTGTTGGTGAAGTTTAAGCATCACAACCATCCCTATGCCCCAGCCCAAGGCAGAAGGATTAAGTCAACTTGGTTAGAGGAGTGCTGGTTTTATTGATTTTCTGTATACTTTCAAAGATGAGATTTGAGGTGCCTTTAAGAATTTAAAGATAGAGCCACTTGAAAAGAGCTGATAAACAGTATAATCAAAAATCATTTATTGGAGAGGTTGAGTTCTGAGTTTCCTTGAAGATGAAGCATAAGATGAAATGCTGAGCCATGCGATTCAAACAGATTTGCGGATCTTCCCCAGCACTGGTCGTTGGTAAACATCAACTCCTGCTTTGATGAAACTCGCTGTTCTTGGCAAGAACAAGGTGTGAGCTATTGGCAGATGCATTTTAAGCCCCCCAGAAGCTTCTGTGGATCACCATGGTTGCCATTTCAGTGAGAAATACTTTGAAGGTAAGGAGACTAAGAAATTTTTCTTTTGTCTTTTATAAGAAGTAAAATTAAGAGAAATAACTAAACAAATATAGCTAGAAAAATCACTAAGCTATGGAATTTGCCAAATTCTGTTGTTCATCAAGCTTGCATAAAGTAGATGCCTGATTAAAATATCAGTACAAGAAAATATGAATGTGATCATTCTTAAATCCCATTCTAATATTTCCCATCACCAACAACTGGGACAAATGCTCAGATGCTCATTCCTAGCCCATCTGAACTGGAGAAGAAACACTGCACTGACTGGGCAGGTTGTCAGCATGCATTGGTTAAAAAGCATGCCCTGCAGCCCAGAAGAAAACTGTTCCCCATGTCGCTGCTGCTTGATGAAGCAATGACAAGGTCCATTAGTTTTGTTCAGTATTTACCTGCTTTCCACCTGTGAGAGCACAGCACCCACATCTCTTTACTGAAGAAATGGACAAAGATCAGGAAAAAACACCTATTCTTCCTGGATCATTCACTGCAGATAATCAACAAAACCTTGTTTCTAGGCACCAACCTCCAGGCAGAGAACAGCCTGAGTAACTTATCTTTGTCTTGGCATTTACTATAATGAAATATTACCAAAACTGAGTTCCACTCTGGAGGCTAGTGAAAGGTTCACCATTTAATGTACCAAATCCAATTTTTTTTTTTACAAAAAACATCATCTGTTACTATAACAAATTATTTGCCATAAGTAACAACTTTCTGAAGTTGGTAGCCAGTTGTGATTGGGTCAGAGTGAGCATATGAAGAGATGTGATTTTTGGTTCCAAAGGGTAAAGAGGTCAATTTAGTCTGGTAAGTTTTTAGATCCCATATTCACCCAATCTTTATAAGACTTCCTGATGGGTTCAGGTTCTGGTGGCCTCTCCATTCCTTACCCGCTTCTGAGCATCAATAAGAAAACAAAACATGAGAAAGAAAAGACCCTCTAAACCTCAACCTTAAATGATCCAGCACACTTACAGCCACCTCTTCTTCACTGCCCTCATAGAGCTGAGTGGCAGTTTCTGGGTATCCTTGGTGAGTTAGGCTATCGGGAACTCAGATGTGGGAGGCCACTGGATTCGGATTCATTCCGCTCTCATTTTACAAAGAGGCCTCAAGAGGCTAAAGCAATTTCCCGCTGTGGAGGGATAAGAAGAGAACATGGATCCCCAATTAGGAGAGTTACATCCATGTCTCTGAACATCATGGATGTGGTCACTGCAGTTCTGCTTCACTGTAGTTTTCCAGATACAGTAGGAGGTCTTATCTCAGGGGACTATCAGGTTCTAATCCTATAATGAAAGGCTTCAGGATGTCCGGCCTAGAGTAGCAGACACAGGGAAGCTTGAAAGGAACAAATTTTTTATTTCTGAAGAATATGATTCCCTCACTTTCCATTGTCAGGCAACTAGATGACCTGTGGTATTTAAAAAAAAATGCAAGATAATAGAATTTGATACTTTTTGAGACAATAAGAACACCCCCATGAATGCTCACATTTTGATTCAGTTCTAATCCAGACATGCAAATTCCTCATTAGTGTATAAGGTAGTATCAATATCCCTCAAGTAAAAACTCTTAAATGTCTTTTAAGATGCAGATAAAATGTAGTGCAAGAAAAGGAAAAAAGCAGATAGATGTATAGTTACCTTTGATTCAGTAATGCTACTCCAGAATTTATCAACAGAAAGCAAAAAGTCATTATCTAGGATGGCAGTCCTAAATAGCTGTAATAACCAAGGTCTGATTTGGTGATGAAATGGTACACGAGTGCTGTGGAGTTTGTGGCTTTAAAAACTTTAATAATGAACATTGCAAAAACATGAGAAAACGTTTATACTCTAATAGTTTGCTACTCAAAGTGTAACCCCTGTCCAGCAGCCCATCACCTAGGAGCTGGTTAGAAACACAGGTCTAGCCCCACTCCAACTGAATCAGTATGAATTTCAACAAGATCCACAGGTGATTGTGCATATTAAAGCTTGACAATCATCTAATAAGTGTGTGGAGGGGCAGTACTAATTTAAAATTATCAAAAAAGTATGTCTACATGCTCAAGGACTGGGAGGTACTTAGCAAAAATTAAGATAGTTTAGATGGAGATACCCCTGCCTACCCACACAAAGTGCCTAGCCTGCTGTTAAGTCCTAGTAAGTGGCAGCTAATAGGGAGGTGTTACTGTTGCTGGATTTTCGTTTTCTTTCTTTTTCTCTCCCTTCTTTCCTTCCTTCCTTTCTTCCTAAATGTGTTCATGTTCCTCTTAAATCACATTTTGGAAACTTAAAAGACAATAAGGAAATTAATATGTTGTGTTTCCTTTTCAACCAGACCTTAAAACTGGTTAAAACGTATTTTGCTTTTTACTTCAGCTATCAGAAAACAAGGAGCTAAATTTAATACTCAATACACTAATTCTATTAGCTTAGCCTTCTGAAATATTTGTATTCTTCTCTATGACTTTTATTTTCTATATTATTAGGTTTTCTAGTATGTTTCTTACAAATCACTTAAAATTCTTCCTGAAAATAAGGGTCCAAATTACAATGACTTCTAAAAACAGTCTGTTCTCGTTTGCCAGGCTCCACAAAAAGATGAGTTTATGAAACCACCTTCCTGTTTTAAATTATTTCTTCTCTCCCTGGGCTTTTTCCACTTCCCAAAACACAAGTAAAACTGAAGGGTTCCTGTTTGCCCCTCAGTGAAATTCTCAGATGCCAGCTAGCTCCTGCCCGCCCTTCTCATTGCTCCTCTTTCTGGCCCCTACAGCCCAGCCCCATGAGTCCTGCCTGACGATTCAATAAGGAAGCAGAGAGGCCACAGCCCTTCCAAAAGCATGCAGATCACCCTCCAATGAAATTACTCACCAACGCTACAGCTGCTTCAGACTTCCTCTGCAATGAGAAAAAGACATGTATTAGCTTTAATAGTTTTTTAGTGAATTACTTAGGATTTTCCATATACAAAATCATGTCATCTGCTAATAGAGATAGTTGTACTTCTTCCTCTCCAAAGTAGATCTTTTCTTTCTTTCTCTTGCCTAACTTCCCTGGCTGTAATGTCCAATACGTTCTTCAACAGAAGTGACAAGAGCAGACATCCTTATTCCTGAGTACAACCTTGTGAAGCAGGTTTTTTTTTTTTTTCTTTTTTAATGCTGCATCTGATTGGTCTTGGTGTCCCCACCCCTGGGCCAGGGCCCAAACCTCAAGACTGGCTGTGAGGAAGCCCCACCTCCCTAGGGGAGAGAGTTACCTTTTCCATCTGCCTTATAGTCATCAGGGAGCAGCTTGTCCTGCCGGTAGCCCAGCACAAAGGCCAGGAAGGAGAGGATGAGGGCATCTCCGATGCTGAGGATGGCCAGCATGAAGGCCCAGCGGATGGTGCAGTGGCCTAGTGTGTACTTGCCGGTCTGCTCCCCACACATGCGCCGCACTTCACTTGAGTCCCAACCATCCGGGTAGACCAGGCAGCCAATCATCAGGCCTGTGGCTGAGGGAGCAGGTGGGGTACAGATGGTATCGGGCTGGATGTGCTTAGCCTGCTACCTCCCACCTCGCACTGCTGTTATCTTGTCACCTCCCTGCTTCTTGTGTTAACAGCCTTGAGAGTTACAAGGGGTAGCTCCTGCTCTGCTTGTTGAACGCAGGGGAAGACTGAGGCTGTAAGAGCTAAAGTGACTTGCCCTGGGAGCCAGTGGTCAGGGGTAGAGTCAGAGACCAGAGCTCCTCAGGCCAGGGAAGGATCTGCCGTGGCACCTACTAGGCCCTCAGCCATGCCCCTCACTTTGGGCTTGACAAGGCACTGCCTAACCTGGCTTCAAAGCCCTCCCAAAGACCAGAGGACTCATCACTTCTAACATGGGCATTCGTTCATACTCCAGCATCTCTGAAATAAGTGTAATAACAAAGCTTTAGGCTACAATTTGATTAGAAGTATTTTTCCTTTTTGTAGTACATAGAATAATGGTGTGTCCTACAATGCAGGTATCTTAGATTCAGTGAATACAGGAAGTTTTCCAGCCCCACCTCTGGCTGCTTCTTTCATGAACCTTCCATTCAGGCAAACAGTTCTCACCCCTTCCCACTACAGCACAGTACAGTTGCCCAAACGTCACTGGATTTGTTTAAAATGCTGATTCCCAGGTCAGGGTTGGGCTCAGGTATCCCTGTTTTTAAAAGCATGCCTCTGGGTGATTTTCTCAATAAGAGAAGCTGAGACCACTGGAGTAGGCTGCCTGGATCTGAAGCCCAGCTTTTTGCTAACTAGCTGTGTGACTCAGAGCAAGCTGCTTAAGCCTTTTTTTTTTCTTCAGTTTCTTCATCTGTAAAAAAGGGATAATAGTATCTACCTGTTTGGACTGCAGTGAATTTTAAGCGAGTTAATACTGGAAAAGTGCTCAGAACAATGCCTGGCACACATTTGGCATTTCATGAGTGTTAGCTATTATCCCACACTGTGCTTTCACTGATTTAGTATTTCCAGCCAAAAATTTCCTCACCTTGCCCCCACTTCACCCATGCCCTCCCACCAAACCACCATCTCACCTTAGCTGCCCAGACAGGTGATATAATCCTGGGATGTGACCAGGGCAACCTCAAGGACAACCACCAGGCAGGCAAGGAATGCCTTCTCTTATCTGTGTGGCTTTCCACCCCCAGCCCTCCCTCCAGAGGCTCTTTAGTCCCAAGGCTGTGTCCTACCCAGCAGCCCTGTGGAGAAGCACCTCGCAGGACCCAAAGTCACTTACCTGGGACTCAGCTTGTTCTTGCAAGGAAGATCAGCAGACCAAGAAAAGCACAGCAAAGTGTAAAGATCAGGTTCCCACCTCCCCATCTAAATGTGGGTCAACTCTTCTTTGGTTTTTTCTAGGAGGAACTCATTTACATACTTTTCTTATAGATCACAAAATACTTCATGTACCGTTTTTCTCAGGATTCTGACTATAGTTCTGTGAAGTAGGCCATGTATTAATATCCCATTTTACAGGTTAGAAAACCAAGGACTCAGAGAAACCATGTGAGTTGCCTAGTCATCCAACTACAGCAGAATCAAGACCTGCACTGAAAGCTCCTGAGTTTCTCGACTTCAAAGTTAATTCCCCCAGACTCCCAGACTGATATCTCTCCAAAAAACTGAATGTATTTAATAATGACATTTCTGACTTAGTGAAACTGAGAAGCGTTTCAGGAAGCTACTTAGGGTGGAGGAGGGAGAACCTCCCAGAGCTCTTTCGTAAAACATGTGGTCTTTTCCACTTGGTGTACGACAAGTCCTCTGGTGCCTGGCATGGCCCTCTTCGCCTTCCACAGCATCTCCCTACAGGGCTCCAGGAAAGAGCCCAGGGCCTCTGATTTGGGTTGTTACTGTGGGTGCCACAGCCCCCACCCATCCACTTGGGCACAGCAGGGGACAACCCCATTGTGGTGTCTCAGGGCTCTAAGTAGAGGCCAGCATGGTATTCTCAGGTGAGTATACTTACCCTTTCTGACTTCCATACTCTCATCTGGAAGATAAGGATAATATCTGGCTCATAGCAAAGTTATGAGGATTAAGTGTGATCATGTATAGAAAATGCTCACTGCAATGTCTGGTACATGGTAAGTGGCCAGTTAACGTTAGTTAGTTGCTATTATTATTGGCAGTGAAGTCAGGTGGAAGCAACCTCAGGGGATGTGGATGTCATTACAGCTGTTCACAAATATTCCAGGTACGTAGTAGAATTTTACTTCCTAGACTCCCTCCCTTGATGTTAGGCAAGGCCATAAGACTTCCTTTGGCCAATAAAATGTTAACAGAAATGCCATGTGCATTTCCAGGCCAGAGCATTTAACTGCTGTTGGAGATGTTCCAGAGCTCCCTTTCACTCTGCAATGATGGCAGCCAGATGACAGCTGATGCTCCATCGGCCTGGCATCTAGATGAGAACAGTGAGCGCAGAGCCCCACTCTGATCTTCAGCAAGCATGTGCCGTGAAAAGAAATAAACCTTGCTTAAGCCACTAAGATTTGGGTATTGTTAGTATGACATCACCGCATCCATCCTGACTGGTAAAGATGTTTTGTGTTTTTCACGTTTACTGAGCACCTACCACGTATCAGGTACCGTGCAAGGTGTTTTTTATGCATTATATCGCCTCATTTTCACGAAAATGCTGTGATGGGAGTACTATTGCTACCTTCTACAAATGAGGATATGAAGATTCAGAGAGACAAGCAACTTGCCCCACCTGTGTTTCTAGGAGCTGGGACCCTACTCAGCCTACACTTGACATCCAGAAGCAGTTAACATTGTTAAGCCACAGCCCCACACTGTCCCATTCATCAGTCCTCTTTCCCTTCTGCTCCCTTCCCTGGTCCCAGGTTTCTTGTCAAGGTTGAGCTAACTGATTTAGGTCTTTTCAAATGGATGCATCTCCCAGCTGCAGGCTGTAGGGCACACCCCTGACTTAAGCCCTCCCTTTGGCTCATCTTCCCTTTCCCAGCACCTAAGAATGGAACATGACACCACCTTTGCTCTCTCCCAACATAAATGTTTCATGGGATGGCAACTGAGCACCTCTGCTATCAGTGTCTTCAGCTCCATGACCCAGAAAGGATCTGACTCAAATGGCCTGGTGACCCCTCCCCTACTCAAGCCCTCCCAGCACCACCTGTTCAGCAAATGGCACCTGTTGCAGAAGGTTGGGGGAGTGTGACAGTGTAGAGAATGAAAGAGGGTGGGTTGTATTTCCAGTATCCCATAGCTCTGATATGGAGGACCAGCTAGCAAGCATACCAGGGTTCATTCTGCTCCCTCTTTGTCACAAAACTGCTAAATCTTTATTCTCCCTCCTTTCTCCCCTCTGCCCGCCAAGACTTGCCTCATCCCTACCTCAGCCTCTCCATCATCATATAGAGAGACTACAGAGGAAGAGAGATGGACAGGGAATTGGGGAAGCAGCATCTCTAGAGCCAGGTGAGTAGCCTGAGTACAAGATTTGGAGTCAAAGGTTCTGTTCTTCACTACCTGTGTGTTAAAAGACAGGTTACCCACTAGGAGCTTTATGTATAAAATGGGAGGAATACCCACCTCACTGGGTCATGATGAGGCTCTGCCAGATGATACATGGGAAGTACTTTCCAAATCATCATACTTATATAAATGTGTGCCTCAGTATAAAAGGTCTTTGGAACACATCTAGTTTCCTGGAACCCACTGCCTTGATTTTCCCAGTTCCTCAATTGCCAGTTGATCTGCTATAGTCTTGACAAAATCTTTTCTTCTCTCTCGGTCCCAGATTCCTCATCTATAGTTGGCAGGGACTCTACAGCTCTCTCGGGTCCCTTCCATCTCTGACAGTCTTGAGTTTATGTGTTTGGTTGTCTGGGATTCTGATCTCTGTTCCATTCCCCCTGTTAAATATGACACTGCTTCTCATTCTGACTAATGATGTCCAGATGGTTTCATGCTAGTCTGCAGTCCTCAGAACTGCTCCTAGACATCTCCCTAGTATGAACAGGGGTGGGGAGGGACCAAGGGCTGCAAGACAGTCTTAGGCATCTCTTTCTGGGCTTTAGAGGAGAGCAGGACCAGCTGGCTCAAGGACTGAGAGGCCTTCCTGGGACAGGGGCAGGAAGACTTTGCCCCTGGACACCACAGGTAGGCACCTACCCCACACAGTTTTAAAAGGCCCTAATCCCTCCCCCCCATCACAAAATATCACTCCCATTTGCTGCCTCAAGCATGGAATCCTATAATTAGGGAACAAAGACTTTCAGTCCACTATGAAACAGGAAACATGCAAGTTTCCATGGGAGAGGTCACACCCGGCATAATACTCCAAATCAATGATGGACTTTAGAATCTCTCTGAGAACAGGCTGGGGTGGGAGGGAAGATCTGGGGATACATGAAGGAGAAATAATGCCCAGAAGTAGGAGATGGGGTCATGTAAAATGTACTTGACTGGCATGACTATTTTGCCCTGGGATGGGGAGGAGTGTCCTATTCCCACATGGCCAAAACAGAAACTTCCTTCCTTCTCCCTCTCAGAGCAACAACAACCTCTGGTGTGGTGTCCTGGGAGTCAGGATCCCTGATTTCTTCTACCAGCTGGAATGTGCTCCTAAGCAAGTCACTTCCCTTTTCTGGATCCCAGTTCCTTGTTAGCAGGATGAGAGGGTGGAACAATTTGATCTTTAAGGTTTTTTTGGTCTCAGTAATTCTACTTCTCAGAAGCATCTGCTGAGCATTGAGTAGGGCTGGGCTAAAGGAGGACAACTGAATAGGAGACTCAGCCTCCTATACAGAGGGTGGGACAGTGCAGCTGCCCTGTGGCCTGGGATGGACCCTTGCCTGCCCTCCCAGTATCCTTGCTCACCTGCAGCCAGCTGCATCCATGCACAGATCTTGTAGACAGTGGCCGTGTTGCAGACAAAGAACAGGCTGAAGCAGATGATGGAGCCAATGATGAGGAACATGGCCAAGGCCACAAAGAACATGGCAGTCTTGAAGGCTCTAGAGGGGATGGAGGAGAAGTCCAGTGGTCCGCCCTTGCAGATAAGCTCAGAGGAAAGCACGTTGCCCACGCAGTAGGAGAAAAGGCCAAAGTAGCCTGCCTGTGGTGTGTTGACGCTGTCACCAATCCAGTAGGGTTGGATGAAGAGCGCCATGACCAGCACGGAGAAGCAGATGGTAAGCGTGCCCCACATCACACCCACAGCCCTTGAGTTCCGCACATAGTTAGTATGGTAGATCTTGGCTGCCTCCTGGGCAGGCAGCAACTTCACCATGGTGAAGGCGCTGGGTCCCGGACTGGGGTTCTGGTGGGCTGGAAGTGGCTTTGCAGATGAATTGAGGCCCAGAAATAGGTCACCCCTCAGCTAGGTTTGGAGAGAAGGCCGAGGTCAGGGCACAAGGTGAAGCTCTAAGGTAGAGAAAAGAGGACTGATAGGACAAGGAAGATGACCTTGGCTTCTTCAGGGGAAGCTTGCTCAGGTACTTCTGCTCTAGCCCTGCTATCTCCCGTCTCCTGCCTCCTCTCAAGCCAGCCAGGGTCTCGGGCCTGCTGGCGCCGCCCTGCCCCTCCCCTCTTCCAGCTCAGAGCATCAGAGAGCTCCGCCCCCTTTGCCCGGCCTGGCTCCTCCTCCCTCCCTCCTCCGAGAGCGCTGATTTCAGCACCGCGGCCAGCGCCCCGGGACTCTGGCGGAGGAGTACGACAAGCAGCCAACCCACTCAACACACACCCCTGCCACTGGGACTCGAGACCCCTCTTCACCCTCCTGAGCGGGGATAACAAGAATTGGAAGGATGGGGCTGCGGCGCTTACATTCCTCCCGCTCAGTTCCTGAGGCAAAACCACGTCCTGAGTGCAGTCCCTATTCCATCCCACCCGTCCCTGGATCCTTGGTCGCCCTCCCGGAACCTCCAATCCCGCACAGCCATCCAGGTCACTGGTTTCTTGTCCTGATCATTCAGTCAACAATTACTAAGAGGCTACTATGTACTACGCACTGTTGGAGGATAACTCCCTCAAGCAAGAACCACAGAACAAAAAGGGCAGGGCCCCTGCTCTTAAGGACAGTGAGATATTTACATAAATGGATGGATGGATGGGTAGGTAGGTAGGTAGGTAGATAGATAGATAGACAGATAATTTGCAATGAAGACTGATGGTGTGATAATAGAAGCAGCTGCAAACAGTAAGGAGCATTCCTTATGAGACTTCTCAGACCTTACTATCCTTTTTGTTCAGTACAATGTCTTTCTCCTCTTTATATTTTTGTTGCATATTTTCCCCTCTTTTTCAAAATGTCTATATTTTCCCTGAATTTATAGGTAAACACATGACTAGTGTAGATATATAGGAAAATTCAAGAAAGTTACATAAAAGAATAAAAATCACTCATAACACCAAACTGGGAGCTAAGGAGAAACAAAATCATTCTAAAAACATGGACTTTGGATTTAGGCAGATCTGGATTTGAATCGGCCACTTATTAGCTAAGGATTTAACCTTCCTGAGCCTCAGTTTATTCATCTATAAAATGGAGATAATAGTATCTATCATATAAGGGTTAGGTAAAATAAAGTATGTAAAATGTTTAGCCCATGGCCTCACATTAAAAAGTGCTCAAAAACGTGTATTGTTATTGTTACTGTTATTTATTATTAGTACCTCTGTTAACATTTGGAGGTATTTCCCTCCTTCTGGAAATATAGCTTTATACAGTTGGATAATAAAATATATATATTTAGTATCCAATTTTTTTTACTTAGCATCACACCACTAAAAATTTTTCCCATTACTAGCTTTTTTCAAAAACATGGTTCTAATATTTGTGTAATAATTGTTTAATCATAGTTCCCTTTGGGAGTATTTTGACAGTTTCCAGTTTTTCGCTATTTAAAAAACCTAGCCTTTAACATACTTGTGCTGTTACTTACGGTTCCTTTTTTCTTAAATTTCTTTGATTTTGTGACCAGTCTTCACGATCAGACTGGAAGTTCATTAAGGCATGGCCTGTGTCTCCACCATCAGACTGGGAGCTTCCCCAAAGCAGGGGCTATTTGTTTCCACATTCAGAAAAGGCCCTAACCTGGGATCAAACTCTTAGGGGCTGGTGGACACCCTTTGTTGGCCTGAACAGCAGAGCTTCCCTCATCTCTGAGAGCAACCCTTCCTGCTTTCTAAGGTTCTAGTGGGAACAGCTAATCACAGGGGACACAGACCCTAGAGACAGGGCTGGGCGGGTGACCCAAGGTAGGCCATCAGTCCTCCCTAAGGAATCTGAATTGGTGGTGGATTGACATGAGGTAAAAAGGTGTTGTTTTGTCAGGCCTTGGCAACATCCTTAGGAGACATTTGTGAACAAGGAGCTTCAGAGCCACCCTAATTCCTGCCCTGCCTAAGACAGATGGTCCTGTTCCTTCTTCAGCTGGTGATCCACCCAGTATTTTTCCATTTCCTTCCTTTTTGCTTTCATTAGCCAGAGTAGGTTTTGGCTCTTGGCACAAAAGAGCCCTAACCTGATCTAAATATTAGCACCAGAAAGAGGGTTTCAGGCCCAGGCTTCAGGGAAAAGGCTCTAGATTCCTGATTATGTCTGGAATTGGGAAAACAGCAGCCCATGATACATAGAAGAGAAACAGCTAGTCAAATGATCATCTTCAAACACTATGGATCACGTGCCCTCTGAAAGTCAAGTTCTGGGGGAAATGAGTAGCTTTGGTCACAGACAGATTGAAAGAGAATGAAGAAATCAAGAACACAGTGTAGGGTGGCTGCTTATAACAGCAATGAATAAAGTCAAGCAAGACAAGCTAAATTGTCTAGTTATTGATTCAAGGAATAAAATGAATTTCAAGACCTTTATGTGCTATGGTTCAAAAAATCTGTTAAGTCTTGTTGCTAGAGAACATAAGTCCATTAAAATAAGATTCAGGGAATACAAGAGGACTGAACTGCAAGGCTTTGAACCCATCCCATGTTCCTGAATGGTTAGACCAAATCACCTCAGGAACTGGTAGAATCCCTCACCTTGGCCCCGTGACCTTGAGCTAAAGATTAATAAACTGTAAGAGCTAAGTCAGTGCCCCTGGTGCTCCCTCTCATTCTCCAAAAAATAAATCAAAAGCAGTATTATATCCCCAGGGGAGCAGTAGAAATCAGTAACTATCAATGATTTGAATGATGCAGGGGTTGTGATTCCTGTCTCTAGTGGACATTTGCCACTTTGTTTGTTTTTGTTTTTAGCTGACCAACATCCTAACTTGTGGGCTGATACCCAGCTGTGTGAGTTCCTGAGGGGAAGTTGGGCCTCTTGTCTCACTGTGGAAGAGAAGCCCCTTCCTCTACCTGCTCTACAGAGAATTCTCAAGGCACCAAGTGTCAGTGGACTGCTGTAGTCATGACACCTCAACTCAGGATGGCTCTGAGGACAGCATGGAAGGGAAATTTTCATGGAAGGTAGAACTTCAGGTGCTATAACTATCTACCCCCAAAAGATCTACATCCTAAGCCCCAGAACCTGTGAATATTGTCTGATTTGGAAAAGGGTTCTTTGCATATATAATTAAATTGAGGATTTTGAGAAAAGGAGATCCTACCAGATTATCTGGGCATGTCCTAAATCCAATGACAAGTGTCCCTCTAAGAGACACACAGAGGAGAAGACAAGAAGAAAATGTGACGTGATCATGGAGGCAGAGACTGGAATGATATGGCCACAGCCAAGGAAGCTGGCAACTACCAGAGGCTAAAAAAAAGTGGGGAATGGATTCTCCCCTAGAGCCTCTGTAGGGAGTGCAGCCCTGCTGACACCTTGATTTCAACTTCTGGCCACCAGTATTGTAAGAGAACAAATTTCTGTTGTTTCAAGCCACTATGTTTGTAATAATTTGTTATGGCAGCCTCAGGACGTATAGTACCTCTCCTGTAAGGAGAGAGGGCCTACAATACAGATGAACACCACTTCATGGGCAGCAGCTAATGGACCAGCCAGGTGGTCATCATCTTGGACAGAGTAAATATGGAGAGTTAGTAAAAGTTTGGGGAAGGGGAGCCCTCAGAATAGGGGCAAAACCAGAGAGTATTTGGGTTTGATGAGAATGTATTCCAGAGACTTGCTGCTGCAGAGGCTTTTAACATCCGTTGGAGATGATGACTCACTCTATGAATGCTAGCCAGACTCCTTCCTCTGCACATCCACCCCAATCCCACCGTGCATTGGCTCAAAGACCCATAACAAGATGTCCATGGTGGGACAGGTGGACACTGTGGATGGATCTTCCATCCAAGCTTATACAGCCAGTCATTACTGGCTCCCAACAATATCAACCATCTTTGAGCTCCCTGGTATGACATCTGTAACTCTCGAAACTGAATAATAAGACAACAAAGAACCCAATTAAAGATTGGATGGCAAAAGATTCAAACAAACACTTCAGCAAAGAAGACATATGGATGGTAATTAAGCAAGCGGAGAAAAGCTCAACATCACCAGTGAGGAAGGAAATGCAAATTAAACCACAAGGACATACCATTACACACCTGTTGGAAAGGCTCAGTTAAAAAATGAAAAACCAAAGAAACTGACAATGTCAAGTACTGGTGAGGATGTGCAGCAACTGAAACTTTTATACATTGCTGGTGGAAATGCATTTTGGTTCAGCCACTTTGGAAAACAGTTTGATATATCATCGAAATCAAAACACACATTTGCCATGAGACTCAGCCATCACACTCCTGCGTATTTGTCTCAGAGAAATGAAAACTTGTGTTTTCCCACACAAAAAAACTTGTACACGAACATGTGTGGCAGCTTTATCCATAACTGCCCAAAACTTTTCAGAAATAACCCAGATGTCCTTCAGGTAGAGAATGGATAAACACACTGTGCTTCCACCCCGACAACAGACAACCACTCAGCAATGAAAAGTAAGTAGCTATTGAATCCTGCAACAATGTGCATGAATCTCAAATGTGTTATGCTAGGTAATAGAAGCCAGATACCCCATCCAAAAAGAAAAAGTATATGCTGTGTGATTTCATCTATATTACATATGGAAAAGGCAAAATTATAGGGAAGCAACCCAGATTTGTGGTTGCTAGGATCTAGTGGTGGGGTTGATTACAAAGAAGCTGTATAGGAAGTTTTTTAGGGTGATGGAAGCATTCTGTATCTTGGTTGGAGTGGTGGTTCCATGACATATACATTTGTCAAAACTTATGGAACTGTATACTATAAAGGGTAAACTTTTCTCTGTCAATTATGATTTGATTTTTCAAAGGAGGAATTACTCATGTTGATAGGATGCCAAATCCTGACTGTCCAGGGGTTCTCTCCTCTAACATACAGAGGGAGCAGAGAAGTATGTGTAGTAGTTAGGAAATGCCTGGGCTGCTTCTTGCTACTGCCATGTCCAGTGTAAAAATTAATGAAAGGAAGAAACAAATTAAGGCTTCAGTAATCCAACACAAGGGCAGACACATGAAGGGCCTAGATATCTCAGGAATAGAAAGTCTGGGTCACTGTACAGCATAAAGAGCCCTGATCAGCAGGGATGCTGGCTGAGAGCAAAAGGAGCAGGATGGGAATGAAGGGTGAAAGTCCTAAGTACTATCTACAGCCAAGTGGTGTCTGCAGAAAGGACTATATTATCTACCTGGATGTTCATCCTTGCCATGTCATGTATACATTTATATACCTTACTCTTACCTTTCTTCTTTGATGGTGGCTAACTTTACAAGTTAGCCCCTAAGCTGCAGAATACTGAGATGTGATCGTGACCAAACTAAAAGAGGAGTGACATCATACAGATATCCTGAACTTAATGCTGGGGTGATAACTGACTTTGGACCATCTCCCTAGGGTTTTGATCTTAAGGGACAGTTGTGATGTGTTTGAAGGGAACACTGGCAAGGAGTAGGGATTATAAATAGGAGAGAAGAAGAGTTCATGTGGTTGTTGACCAGCTGAAGGGAGGGACTAAGAGGACAGAGCCCAAATTTCACCAGGACCAGAAGGATGCAGTGGGACAAGAGGTGTCCTCACAGCAGCCATCGAGGGCCCAGAGGATCACAGAGACCTCTCCCCTGCTTCCTGAAGACACATACGCTTCATCCTACACTCAATCCAACTTGGTCAGGAGAACGGGGTGGTGAGAGGGATCCTAAAGGCTGAGTATTGAATTAAAAAAGACTGGGTAACCTGAAAGTCACTGTATGCCTCAATTTCAACTGCCACATAAACTAGACAGTCAGAGAAAATTTTAAAGTTACAGTTATTGCACATCTCAATTGTAATTTGAGCCTACTTCTTGGGGAATAAAGGTTATCTGTGGGCTGGGCAGCCACAGTGGAATGGAGGGGGTATCTATGGTTCTTGAATCCAAAATCCTTCTGCTTTCTTTTGTGACAAAAAGCTTCTCTCTACTTGGTCAACTGCCCCTCCCCTTTCCACAAGGCCCAGGTGAGGCTGTCTCCTTAGGGCTCTGCCCAGTGTGGATCATGGGTAGGGGCTGGGGAACCCAAACTAAGAGAACCTGAGACTCTTGATGGGGAATTTGAATCTTGAGTGACTCCCTGTCTGCTCCCTGAGCTGACTCCAGGGTTGTCACACATCTGACCTTGACCCAGAGCTGTGGGCCCCTTCCCAGAACTGAGATGTCTGTGTCTGAGGCTTAAGCAAAAGGAATGTGTTATAGAGGAGTTTCAGGTACCACAGGGGCAGGAATGCAGCAGTCATGGGAAGGGTGTGTAGGGTGTGTGTGTAACCAGGACCTGGAAATCCATCAGAAGTCAGAGCATGGCTGCTGCTGCTTCTTCCTAAAAGGCTAATCGATTCTTTCTCGCCTCTGCAGACCAGCTTTCTCCAGTTCTTCATCAGCACATCAGAAAACTGCCTTCCTGGGCTTCTATAGTTCCATGTTTCAGATCAGCTTGAAGGTGAGCTGCTGGGCACAAGCCTACACAAGCCTGTCTAGAACAGACCAGACACAGTTCTAAATGCCTCAGAAATACTTGTCCCCCAAGAGAGGGCTTTGGGTCATTCCCATCCGTTGTCCAGTCCACTGAGTTGGGGAGCAAAGACAGCCTCATTTACTAATGTGGCTGCCAGAGGCACACCCTTGTGTCTGGGGTAGATCTTGGAGAACGTAGTCCGGGGGGACACCCAAGAGGAGTTTGGCACGTCTCTGGGTCTACAGCTACTGTGTCACTAGGAGGCATGACACCACCCAACCCCCACCATCCCAGGTGGTAGGACTTGACCAGGGAGAATTTTGCTCCATTTTTGTTTTTAATTGAGGTACAGTACCTATATTACATATGGTAAAATACTCAGATCTTAAGTGCACGGCTAGATGGATTTTTTACATATGTGTTACTAACACCCCAGATCAAGATTTAGAACAATCCCAACACACTGGAAGGCTCCCTCCTTCCTGCCCCCTCCCAGTGAGTATTCCTCCCAGGGGTAAACCCTGCACATTTTTACCACCATAGATTAGTTTTACCTCATCTTGTACTTCATGTAGATGGAATCACACAGTCTGCATTCTTTTGCCTGTGGCTTTTCTCTCTCAAAACTATGCTTGTGAGATTAACCTATATGATTTCATGTGGGAACCAGAACTCGGTTCTTTTTTGAGGGGGGAAAACCCAAAGCAAAAGATGCTTTAGATTGGAGAAGGGGTGATTAGATCTTACGAGGTTTGGGCACAAAAAGTCCTTAATAATTACCCGCTGCTTACATTTTGGAAGCACAAACAATGGCAAAGTTCTCTTTGCTTTACTCTTCATTTGTAAGGGGAAAATCTCTATTCTTTCTTCTCTGGGAGGTTAGCTGTGACCAGCTGGAGATAGTAGGATCGAAGCATTTTTCATAGCTTCATTCACAGATAGAAACAGCTCCTGCAGTTCCAATGCCTCCCTGGCCTCCTGGCCTTGGCTTGGGAGAAGGGAACCGTAATTACCCTCCCTGTGGCTCTGCTCACAGGAGTACTGGGCTGGAGTGGGGGTAGGGAGAGAAGGAGGGGCCAGGACAGGTTCATGGGCAAAAGGGGTTTTAAACACTGAGTTCCATAAAAATAAGAGAGGATAGTGTTCCTTTAATCAACAGCATTTCTATGTCTCTGGAATTGGGTAGGTTTCTCTCATTTTGAGAGTCTCCTGGCTGGTTCCTCCAACTGCTCCCCTCCTCTCCCCTCCAGCTGCTCGCCTCCAGTGGTGTAAGGGGGAGTGGCAGGGGGTGGGAGTACATGGGCTTAGCAACACTTCTATGAGGTTTCATATACATTGTCTTATTCAATCCTGACCTTACAAAGCAGGAGCCATCAGCCTCCTTGGGTAGATGAAGAAATTGAAGCTCACAGAGCTTACAGATTTATACAACAAGGTCATATGTCTGATTATGGGGAGTTTTGAGTTCAGTTTTGTCTGGATCAAGGCAGCCCAGTCTGGGGCCTCCATCCACCATCCACCTCCTGGGAGGGGGAAGGAGTCCTTTGCTGCAATGACCTGTCCTTAGGGACAGCTGCTCTGGTCCCACACCTGAGCACACGCGGGCATCTGCGCCCTTCCCAGCCTTCAGCCCCTGGGGTCTTCTGAGGCTCACTAGACCTCCTCATTCTCAGCCAGGACTAACAACTGCTCATGCTCACACGTGGCTTTGGGTAGGGTCAGTGGAAGCCTTAACTAAAGGGATGAATCTTTAAGACTGGAATTACAGATATTAAGTCAAGTAGAAAGAAAATGGGAGCGAATCCTTGGAGAAGTCACTCCTAGGGGTCCCTAAACCACCCTGGCAGGCACCCCCTGGTGGGAGGGTGGGAGGGAGGCACACCCAGGGTGAGAACACCCATCCCCTGGCCAAGGGTCGCAGAGCTAGTTAGCCCACAGGGACCTGGGCCTGCTCTCAAATCCCCAAGGGGGCCTGGGAAGATTGAGGAGTGGGGAGGCTGGGACCCCTCCTCACCTAAGCCTGATACTGCCTGATACACCTCACCTGGGTTTGGGTGGGGTCAAAAGCAGGGCCCAGGCTGGGGTAAGGCAAGAGACGAGTCTAGGATGCAAAACTGAAGGAGGTACTCACAGCCTAGGTGTGTCTCTTACCTCACCCCAGTCCCAACCCTGCCACACAGCTCAGGGCACTGGAGGCGAATAACAACAATCGTAGCAGATGGTCTAAGAGTTTTTAAAGTTTAAGCTTCCCCAGTGATTCTGGCTTCTGATCTAGAGTGACCAGACACAGTTCCAAATGCCTCAGAAATACTTGTCCTTCATAAGAACCATGTGAGATAGGTACTATTATTATCAACACTTACATACTGTCCATGGGTGCCAAGTCCTGTTCTAGGCAAGATATATAATACATATAACAATCATAAATTCACTCAACCCTCACAACTCTTATCAGTTGACAGATAAGGAAACTGAGACTCAGGCAGATAATTTGCCTAGCTAATAACTTGTACAGGGAAAAGTGTTCCAGAGTCCCCACTCTTAACCATGCTGCCATATCACCACCACCCCCCAACACACACACACACACACATACAAAGGTGCCAGATGTCTGTCTCCCAGCTACCTTATCAGGACCCCAGCCCCAGCAGATTGGCCACAGCTGGGCCTCTGCTCACGGCAGGCCCTGTGGGATTGGGAAAGTGGGTCAGATCTCTTTTATAGCCCCACCACCCTCTCTGGTTCTGCCTTTTGCCACCTGACCTGCCAGCTGCTACCTACACCAGCAGTGCCCATTCATCATGGAGAAGGTCCTTGTCCTCCTGCTGGTCGCCCTCACAGTAGCCTATGCGGTTCCCGACCCCCGGGGAATCATTATCAACCTGGTAAGAGGGTCCTCAGGGGTGGAGTTACCTGAACCCCCAGGTGGGGATTTTTTTAAGCGTGGATCTTGACCTCTGGGTAGGTCAAGATGTCCCCACCTGGGGCTGCCCCAGGGTGCTGGGGGGTGAGATGTCTCTTCCCTTACTGCCTGTGCTGCACCCCTTCCCCCGCGGGCCCTAGAAAAGGCTGATCAACATGGAGCATGCTCAGAGCAGTGGTTCCACCTGGCTGAGGAAACTATAAAAATCCAGAACCCTGGGTTTCCACCCTGGAAACCCTGGCTCAGAAAGTCCAGTCGTTTAAAAATCTTCCCCAGTGATTCTGGTTTCTGTCCTAGAGTGACCAGACAGTCCTAAATTCCTCAGTAATACTTATTTGGTCTTCATAAGAACCACGTGGCATAGGTACTCTTATTATCAACCCCACTTTCAAAGGAAAAGCTGACACAGAGAAAGGTTAAGTAACCTGCCTGAGGTCACACAGCTGGAAAGTCTTGAGCAGGAACTGACGCCCAGGCCGGCGGGCCCTAGAGCCTTGCTCTCACCACTGCCTCCCTGACTGTCTCTCTGCCAAGGGCAGAACCAGGAAAGCTCTTTGGGATAAGAACTCAGTTCAAAGGTTCTTAACTCAGGGTCATGCTGGGAGGGTCCAGGATCCTCCTGGGATTATTTGTAAGAGTTTGTAGAGGGGGAGGGAGGGGTTTTCCAGGGAGATGGTCCTCAACTTTCACAGGCTCCTCAAAGGATTGGGAGACCCAGGGAGGTTTGGAGACCCTGTTTGGGGCCCACATGTGCACGTTCCAGATGGGAATACTGAGCGACTCGCCCAGGCTCACCGGGGAGCTGGTAGCTCAGCCAGTACTAGAACCCAGGTGTCCTCTCCCCACCCTGGGCTGCTTCTCTGGCACCGGACTGCCTGCTTCTCACGTGGGTGGGGGGTCGGGGTGGACAGAGAGGCCCCCAGCCCCAGGGGTTGGATTCCTTCACACATGCCCCCCAGCAGGGAAGGCGCTGTAAGCCGTAGTGGGTGGTGGAGTACGGGTCTGGGTGGAAAAGAGGCCCCAGGGTGGGAATCCTGGGCTGACCGGCTGCCCTTGGCAGGATGCAGGCGAGCTCTGCCTGAACAGTGTCCAGTGCAAGAGCAAGTGCTGCCACCGTGAAACTGGCCTGAGCCTGGCCCGCTGCGCACCCAAGGCCAGCGAGAACAGCGAGTGCTCCGCTTGGGTGAGCGCCGGACATGGGCCAGGGCGGGGCGAGGGGGCGGCAGGGAGGACAGCTCAGAGGAGAGGGCCCTTGAGGCTTGGGGGTGGGGTCAGGGAGGAGCGTCAGCCTGGACATTGTTGATGAGACAAAGAGAGGGAGGTCAACAGGCTTTCCCTTTCCCATCCCATCACCTCTCTTGACCCTCACAACCATCCAGTGAGTTGGGTGGGGCTGCGATCTGTCACCCCTATTTCATGGATGGGTAAAGAGAGGCTCCCCAGAGAGATCAAGTAAGAACAAGTGAGCCACAGAGTGGAGACCAAGACCTAGGTCCTCCAGGCCCACAGCGCCCCGTAGGGAGGCGGTCAGGAGAAGCACCATCTGAAAAGAGACTATTCAGGCAGGGGCGAGTGATGCCCAAAGCAGCCCCCAGAGCCTGAGATTCCACCGGCTCCGTGTCTCCGCAGACACTCTATGGGGTTTACTACAAGTGTCCCTGTGAGCGGGGCCTGACCTGTGAGGTGGACAAGACCATCGTGGGCTCCATCACCAACACCAACTTTGGCATCTGCCTCGATGTTGGAAGTTCCAGTGAGTGAAAGCACTCACCCAGCCCCGCATCTAGCCCAGCGCGCAGAAGGACACTTCTCCTCCACCCCCGCTCTGGGGCTGACCACCCTCTTGACCAGTACCTCATCTTCTAAGTGGGTTCTTAGCAATTAAAGCCACTCCTGCAAACCTTCCCCAGGCCCCTGGATGTTCTTGCTGAGTGAGCGTCTTCCTTGATGTTACATTGAGCCTTTGACCTATCAGGGCAGACGTCAGACATGTCCAGAAATGAGGAATGGATCTGGGGCCAGGCAGGATGAGGCTGACAGGCTGGAGACAAGGTTGTAAAACAGCCCAGCCAGGCTAGGAACCTCTCCATTTCTGGGGAGCAATCACACCTCCCTGGGATGCCCTCCTTGCCCCTTGCCTGTTCTCAGACAGGCAGGCACCTGTCTGACCACATCTAGAGGGAATGGGATTGTCATGACTGGCTTAGACTGATTATGATCCCTCTCCCAGGGCTGGTCACATTACTGCCCAAACAATATTGGGACTCAGCAAGGAGAGGGGCAATAGCTACCAGCAAACATTGAAAGCTCTTTGTTTTATGCATCATCCCTCCCTCCTTACTCCTCCCCTGTCAGGGGAGGCACTGGGGGCCAGGGTCAGGAACACACAGTTCTGAGTGGGAGTGGGTGGAGAAAAAGTGGGGGGAGGCAAGGAAGAGAGAGCATTAAAAGAAAGCTTTCTTGGCTGGCTTCTTTTTTTCAATTTTTTTTTTTACAATGGCTGTAGATGATTTTAAATAATTTCTCATTCTTTGGAAATACACAAATCAGGTCCAGCTGGCAGGGACACTCATTATACAGGCTGAAGAAGGTCTGGGAAAGGCAAGACACTGACCTTGACCGTGGGGCCTGCTCTGCCCTCAGCCCTGAGGAGGCAGCCTCCACTCCCACCGCAGCCCAGCTCTGGGGCCCATCTGCTTGCACACAGCAGAATAGCCTGGGTGTAAAGGACCTCCTCATCCAGCTGCTCAGAGTCTGTGCCTCTGGTCACCTCCTCCAGGCTGACCCCTAGGGTTGCTCATGCCCTCCTAACTCCATCCCTGGCATCACTGTTCCCCTGTTAATCCATCTGCTTGTCCTAAGTGGATGAACACTGACAGGGGGCCCTATCTTTTCTTCCTAAATCCTTCCATTGGCAGATCAACTCCTTTCTCCTACACACTCAGCTCAGAGGCTCCCTCAGCCCACCTCCCCCCCAAGAGTACCCTGGGGCCACAGCCAGACTCCTGGGACTTGGGATGAGAGTGGTTTGAGGCAGAGGTAGAACCTGGGTTAGGGCCAGACCTAGCCGTTCCCATTTTACAGTGCTAATTTTGGGGTTTGCTGAGATGTCTCCTGAGGAAAGGGAATCCATATTAGAAATAGAAGCATCACTACACCCCATGCCTGGTCCTCCATCCAGGATTCCAAACCCTTGGGGTCGGGACCCTGTTTGGGTCTGTCCACAGGCTACCCAAGGTTGCTCGTAGACGCTGTTCCAGTAGAGAATTCCCAGGTCATTTCTGCTCACCTACTTCTCCCTCCTTCCCCCGGGCTCTGCGTCCGTCCTGGCTCCACCTTCCGTGGGTCCCGCTTCCTCAGCTCCCCTGGACATCCACCTGCCTGTGACAGGCAATGCCCTTGGACCCCTTTAAGGAGAAGTGCAACTGGCAGTTCTTAGCTGCCCTGCAGCAGCATCCGCTCTTGCACTTCTTGCTCTGGGCGCAAAGCTCCCTGGTGTTCTGCAGAGAGACAGCCCGCCAGCTCCACCGCGGCATCTGTGCAAATGAGGGTGGGGGCCAGAGGGCACGCAGGACCTGACTTGTACCTAGAAGGGACTAAATAGATGTTGAAGGTTTGCCCTTAGTGTTCCCCAAATAGGTTACTACTACTCTGGTACACACCAGAGTGAGCCAGACCTTCCTGTCTTCCACTGCACAGTCTCCTCTTCTGAAAACTCCTACTTCCCCTTTTGGCCGAGCTAGGTTGTCACCTCTCCCCGCTCCCACACACACACTCACACACATCAATAGCCCCAATGCTGGGGCTTATGACATTACATTATCCACCACTGCCATTCATCATTCCTCTGTCAGACAATTTCAATAATCTTTCAACAAGCAAAATACTGAGTACCTACTGTGTCCAGGTCCTGGGGATACAGCTGGAAACAAAACCTAGAGAAATGGAGCCAACAATCCAGAGCAGCAGTCCAGTAGAACTTTCTGCAATGATGAAAGTGTGCCTTTTCTGCATTGTCCCATTCACCTAGCCACATGTAGCTACTGAGCACTAAAAATGTGGCTGGTATGACCAAGGAGCTGAATTTTACATATTGTTTAACTTTAATTAATTTTAATTTAAGTAACTGCATGTGACTAGTTATTACACTATTGGACAAGGACAGCTCTAGGGGAGAAGAAGACACATAATAAATACATAAGTGAAATAGATAGGGTGTCACAGACAAAGTGTTAAGCAAAAAAAGCTAGTTTAAAAAAATACAGTGTGATTCCATTATATGAATTTTTAAAAACAGACAAAACTAATTTTATAACCATAGAGGTCAGGAGAGTGTTACCTTTGGAGCGACTGACTGGAAGCAAGCAAAAGGGAGCCTGCTGGGGAGCTGGAAATGTTCTGTATCTTGATCTGGGTGGTGGCTATGGGGGTGTTTGCAAAAGTTAAAAAATTAATTGATTTTAATGTAAAATCAAGATAGGAGCATTTTACTGTATGCAATTTTTTACTTAACATGTATATGGTATTATTAATTAACAATTATGATTTATATTATATACATATAATCACCTATTACGTATGCTGTTAAGCGCTATAAAGAAAACAGAGCAGGAAAGGAGGACAGGATTGGGAGTAGCCTCTTCCTGGTCTCCCTGAATCCGCTCTGGCCAGTAACCCACCCTGGTCTGCCCACATTCTCTGCCCACCCCCTCAACTGGCCACACAGTCCTACCATCCCCCCTCCTCCCATCAATTCTTCCCAGAACAACTAGAGGAATCTTTTTTTAAAAAGATAAATCCCACCTTGTCATTCCCATGCTTCAAAGCCTCCAAGGACTTCCCAGGGCATCTCGATCTAGAAACTCTTTACGGGACCTGCTGTCTTGTTCACTACTGTCTTTCCTAGCTCCTAGGACTGAAGTCCTCACACACAGTAAGTGCTGAATGCAGAACTGCTGAATAAATGAGGATATTCTAATACTCGGTTCCTTTGATCTCTCTGACCTCATCTCCTATTATTTCCAATCTCTCTCTCTCTCTTTATTTTATTTTATTATTTTATTTTTTTTTTTTGCTATTTCTTGAATATGCCAGGCAAAGTCCCTCATCTGCTTGCCTGTTCCCTCCACCGGGACTGCTCTTTGCCCTGCCTGCCTGGCTCCCTTTAGGAAAGACCTCACTCCCTTTAGGTCTTTGCTCTGAAATTTCACGTTTTCAGTAAGGTCTTCCCTGAGTACCCTCTCCTCACACCACTACTCCGGAAGCCCCTTCCTTATTTTCTTTAGCCTCAGGTCTTGATCATCTGGAATATATTAATATTTTGCTTAATTGCCTCCTACAGTAGAGTGCCAGCTCTATCAGGGCAAGGATTTTTCTGTCTTTTTCACAGTCCTAGAAAAATAATTTACATATAGTAGGTGCTTAATAAAACGTGTTGAAGGAATGAGTGTCTGTCAGACCAGCTATGAGCCTGGGGCAGGATTGCTGGGTCATAGTCACCTCTGCAGTGGCAGCAACTGACAGGGTCCTGGCAGCCCCCAGGACTCAGAAGAGCCTCCTTTGTCCCCTCAGGCATCCTCCACCCAGCACTCTGTGCTGCCCCCCACTTCTGGCTTTTGCCCACATCAGCCTCTGTGCCCACCTTCCCTCCCCAAATAGTATGGGTCTTAGGATGGTGGCAGATGGTGTGCCTTCTACGTTCCTTACCAAACTTCTGCTTTCTCCCTGGAAAAATGAGCCCCCAGTGAGGAGGAAGAAAAAAGAGAGGAGGAAGAGGAGAACCAGGAGCAGTAGTTGCCGCATCATGGCCCAGAGGTGGTGGCGGAGCTTCTAAGGTCCAGCTAAAGACCCTGCATCTGCCATGCAACTGCCACATGACCAAGGCCTGGAGGGGAGGTAATGAGGTGTGAATGCCCAGTCCTGGGGTTGACGGGGAGAGGTTGGCAGTGCCAGCCCCCAGACCAAAGGGACAGAGGAACAAGCAGTTGTGGTAGATGTTCCCAAGAACGGCTGCTGCTTCTTGGACCCTTAGCTGTGCTCATCGCTGCCTGTAACATATCTAGTCTGTGTGCTTGGGCTCTGGCTCCAATAAGATCTGATTCAATCTCATCTCTGCTGCCTAATGGCTATGTGATCATGGACAAACTTCTTAACTTCTTTGAGCTTCAGTTTTCCCATCTGCAAAATGGGGCATAACAGTGCATCACAGGGATGAGGCAGTGCTTAAATTAAATAGCAAGAACTGGGCTTCACATAAAAAGGCACCCAATAAATAGAAGCTGTTATCATTACCTTTACAGTTAAAAGGTCTCAGAGTTAGAAGGATTCCAAAAGACTCCCTCATCCAATCTAACTGTATATTATTGTTAAAAAAATAACAGCATTGTGAATATTTTTTTCTCAGATGAGGTAAGTAAGGCTCAGAGAGGTTGCCAAACCTCCCCAAAGTCACAAAGCTATCGAGTAATAGACGATTAGACTCAGTTTTCATCTTTCCACTCCCTCTGAAGGCCTTCAGTTAGAATTTCAGTAACTCCCTCTCTTAAGAAAACACACTACTCCTGAATGCATTTCTGTAGGTCTTTTTGGCAAGCATGAGAATTATAAGCCCAGGACGCACAGCCATGAGTGGGCTGTGGTGGCAGATCATCAAAACCAGTCTTGAGAGTGGGAACAGGTGATAATACTAAGGGCAGCACAGCAGAAGACATTTTTATAAACATTAGTCCCAGCAGGCAAGAAAATGCCATGGGAACAAACTACCCAGGAATCACAGAGGCATAACACAACAGAAGTGGATTTCTTGCTCCTGTAAAGTCAATTGTCAGTCAGGATGCTCTCCAGGGTGGCTGTTCTCCATGCGGTAACTGGGTGACCCAGGCACCTCCCCTCCATAGATCCCTGCCTCACCACCCAGCTGTGGCAAGGAGAGAGATAGGAGAATTCACAGATTTTCTGAGTGCCTCACGAGAGTGAAATCAACCCCCACCCAAAATTGGTTTGGATGTTGGGACTGATGGTGCCACACATACTAAGACAATAAGGAAAGGTTTATTACTCGAGTAATGGAAATTTCTGGGGCCAGCAGGGTAGGTGTGAGGAGGTGTGAGTGGCAAGGATGAAGGGGTAGTTAGCTTTGACTTTTATTGTGGCTGAGAGGCGGGGCCAGGGTGAGGGTTCCTGTGGGCAGGCTGGGGTTTGTGTGGGTTGCACTCCCCACCAGCACCAAGGGAGGGAGCATTTGCTCTTCTTATTGGTTTGCCTAGATGGAGGAGGCAAAGGGGGAGTGAGGGCTTGAAAGCTGTCACTAGCCAATCATCAAAAATGGAGTCTTCCAACCTGAAACCAGGAAACTCCTCAAAGAAAACATAGGCAGGTTTTTGCATCAGTCTTAGCAATATCTTTATAGATGTGACTCTTTAGGCAAGGGAAACAAAAGCAAAAATAAACAAATGGAACTACATCAACTAAAGAGCTTCTGCACAGCAAAGGAAACCATCAACAAAATGCAAAGACAGCCTACCAAAGGGGAGAAGTTATTTGCAATGATATATGCAATAAGGTGCTAATATCTGAAATACATAAAGAACTTACACAAACCAACAACAATGGAAAAAAAAAACCCGATTAGAGCTGCCTAACAGTACATCATTAACTCTAGGTCCTGGGATCTAAGCTCCCTTGGCTTATTACAGTAATAATAAGGGGTTTTGTGGCAGTAAATTTCTCCCACTATTTTCCCTTTGTCCTTTAATAATAGAACCCCCAGGCTTTAGCTGGGCACATGGATACCCAGATGAAAACTACATTTTCCAGCCTCCTTTGCAGCTAGCTGCAGCCGCATGACTAAGTTTTGCCTAATGGGATGTTTAGTGAAAATAATCCATGCTGCCCTTTTAAAGAGAGTGAGCTATTTGCTGTCCCTGTGCCCTCTTTCTTCTAACTGGAATGTGGATCCAACAGATATGATGATGAGCCATATTCTACTATGTGAAGGAAAGAAACATCCTGATAGAGCTTCCGGAGGAGTGTGTCTGGAGATGTTGATGCCATCTGCCTTCGGGAGAGCCTCTTTAGGGCCCCAAAGTCCTTCTGCTCTTACCCCAAGGTGCTAAACAGATAAGGTGTTTCTATATGTGCTGTGTTGTAAAAAAGGAAGAAAGG